TTAACCAGGGGGATACATATCGCCCGTGGGGCGCTTTTCAATGAGCCCTGGGCCTGGGGAAGACCCCAAACAAAAACATCAAACTCAAACTAATACAAATAATCAACAAAAGTAACTTATAAAGTTACAAAAGTTACTAAATAATACAAAAGCAAGGTAACTTGTCTAGAGTCTAAAGTCTAAAGGCTTCGCGGATAGCTCACCGTATATTGAGCTCAACGATGTGACAGGAGGGCCAACAGGCAATAATTATTACTACACCACAATGTATCTACAGCACCCTGGTTCATAACTGAATGTTTCAGGTATAGACCACACTTTGGAACCGGCGAATCCAAAACACCGGCCTGAGGAAAGCTTTGAGTATGCCCCTTATGAGTCTCTCAAGTCTCAAAATCATGTGCTGTTATGCCTTCTCTGGACATGAGGCCCCCATTAACATGTTACATATATCCGCCACTCTGAACTACTTTAAAAAACGTTGTGTTTGAGAGACCTATAGTGCAGCACCCCCAGGTATGTATAGTGTAGATACGCAGAAGTGTGTTATACTAGTACGTAGGGACGTTACATTGAAGATCCTTTAGGGTAGCAGGTATATGAGACCCGGCGGAGTTATGTGAGTAGGATTAGGTTTATGACTCTTCCGCCCACTCGAAGGTTCCCGAAAGAGACCTTCAGGAGAAGATCATTGTAAGATGGATGTCTTCAAAAGCTTGTCTCTCTGAGGGGTTTCCCACTGGGCTGAAGTACGACAATGTGGCTGCACGATAAAGCCACTGACAGTACTTCTACATAAAGGTTGACTCGTGGGCAGGATTATGCGACGTTTTATCGGTGGAAACTCTAGGCACCGTTTGAATAGGAGGCGAGTTGAATTGTACGGTGTAGGCGGTTCGTTCATGATACTTCAGCTGAGCATCACGAGTCCGTCTGTTTTATTTATACAGGACAGCAGTCTTAGAGTCATTGGACCATTTTCTTACGAATAGATCGTCTCATGTTGAGCACACACCAATTAGATCCAGTGGAAAACCAGCAAGAAATAAGGTATTCTAGAGTTGCGCGAAGAATAGTCTATATATAAACTTTAAGATAGTCTGATGTACTCTCTTTGGGTCTAGTAGGGCAGAAACCTTGTTTTGGACAAGCCCTAAGTGGGTGACTTGTGTGGATGAAGCAAAAGACTTTCTCCTAGCTTGCCAGACATCTCTTCCCTCCAACTTGACATGGAGGTCAATCTTTGGTAACCAAACTACCCCCACCCCCTCCTGGCACTCTTCTGCACACAATATTTATAAATAACTTTATTTGCAAAATCATGCCCGAAGGCTAATTTATTGTACAATTCAAGTATAATACTCATTGCAATACAGTGACAGGAGACAGGTAAAAACTGTCTGGAAAAACTTCTACTAATATCTATAAAACACGCACACACAAATCAAAGCATCCATCCCCAGAGGCAATGACAGCTCTTATTCATACTGTCAAACTGGTATTCGTTTAATGCTGTGAAAAACAACTCGTCGACAACAATTCCAATACGTAATTTACTGCTGGGATGAGCTCTCAGCGTGGAAAGATCTCGCGGCTTACGCAAATCAAATAACATCAATTTTTATTCGCGTTAGTGTAATTACTTTTCTGTTATCCCATTATAGCTATTGCCTCTAGAGTACCGCGACTCCCTGACATCAGCTAGAGCGTTTCTGAAACAGCAGACGTTGGTTAGAGAATCCATCCTGCAAGTAGAATTCATAAACTTGTACACCAATGATTCGTCACTGATAACACATAAAAGAGTCTTTATCGGTATTGTAATCACGTTTCTTAGGTACCCAGACATCATTATCACCGAACAGAATAATTCTTAACGCATTCTTTACGCACATCTTAAAGCACGTGTACAGGTCCTGTTTATTCACTCGTGTGTGCCTTTATACATCTTTTAAGGTGTGCTGAAAGATTAAATTATTTTGTTATATGCTCGACATGTCGACGACATACAATATAAAGACGGGGAGGTAAACTCTTTTAGCACACCAACTCCATGGCATTTAACTGGTATGTTATCTGTCTTTTTGTCCAATTTGTACATTTTCCAACCACCTCTGAAGCCTGGTAGAGGCTACTCCTACACCCTAAACAGTCCTGTAGCTTGTAGTCGGAACTTTTAATCGACCTTGCGGCACACGTACACCGTCTCTTATCGTGTATCCAAGAGAGAACAGATTTGGTACACTCTGGGTCCACACCTCATCACGCACGAGTCGCACCACACCAATCTTGCACGATACACTCGTGTGATAACACCTTTCTGGGCCGAAGGTGTGACAAGAGGCCAAGCCGCATTCACTGCTGATTCCTGTACTCTTTTACTACGTTTTAGCACACCAACTCGATCAATGGCATTTCACCGGCATGTTATCTGTCTGTTTGTCCAATTTGTACACTTTCCAACCACCTGTGAAGCCTGGTGGAGGCTACTCCTACCCCGTAAACAGCCCTGCAATAGTCGGTACATATAGTCAACCTTGCAGCACACGTACACCGTCTCTTATCATGTATACAAGAGAGAACAGATTTGGTACACTCTGGGTCCACATCTCATCACGCACGAGTCGCACCACACCAATCTTGCACGATACACTCGTGTGATAACACCTTTCTGGGCCGAAGGTGTGACAAGAGGCCAAGCCGCATTCACTGCTGATTCCTGTACCCTTTTAGTACACCAACTCCATGGCATTTAGCTGGTATGTTAGCTGTCTTTTTTCCCAATTTCTACACTTTCCAACCACCTCTGAAGCCTGGTAGAGGCTACTCCTACACCCTAAACAGCTCTGTAGCTTGTAGTCGGAACTTTTAATCGACCTTGCCACACACGTACACTGTCTCTTATCGTGTATCCAAGAGAGAACAGATTTGGTACACTCTGGGTCCACATCTCATCACGCACGAGTCTCACCACACCAATCTCGCACGATACACTCGTGTGATAACACCTTTCTGGGCCGAAGGTGTGACAGGAGGCCAAGCCACGCTGCCTACTGATTCCTGTCCCTTTTGACCTCTGAAATTTCGTTCCTATGACCTGCCAAAAGACTGACACGTAGCGGAAACAGTTGCTGTACCGTTCTAGATAGGAGGTTACGTGAGCAAAGGTGCACAGGCCTGATAGCTTACCCTGTGTCAAAGGAAAGCACGCAGCTCATGTAGCTGTGACACTTATTTCCTTTTTACTTCAGCACACGTTATTGATTTCATATCACTTCTGTGCCCTTGATGATATGGGGATATGTTGTGCTGATATGTTTACAAATGACACGACTTTGAAAGTATGTGTGTAGCTAGTTTACTCTAGTTCAATTCACCTGTAGCGTGGAGTTTTAATTAGTTTAGGTTCGAAGTCCCGAAATCATTCCAGCGACACGGAAACAGTCCCTATAATACTTGATCTGTGAATATACTAGCGTAATAATATTCTTTCCCTCGGAAGAACAGTCCAACTCTTAGCATAATACTGTTAACAGTAGAAGGCTCCCCCCCCCCCAAAGTGCAGTCATCTATGTGTTTTAGTAGTGTATGTAAACAATACGTACAGTAGGTCGCGAAACGTCATGCAGCTAAGACTGACCAAGAACTGGAAAAGGCACAACTCGCATAGTAACAATTTGGGCCACAGTCCCGATTTCGTACACAAGCAGAAGACATGTTTATCAGTGCCATAAGTTGCGACGTAGAGGGCATCGGAGCAAGCCACTGACTTCGGCCCACCAGGCGTCCCTACCCGCCTGAACGAAGACGGGCTATGTCCTTGGTACTGAAATGGAGGTCCCTAAGCCAGGTGTGCATGCAAGGGGCTTCAGTCGGCGTTTCTGCGCGTGAATTATACTACAATTTGTCACAAGCTGCACGCAGCCAGTGAATCCTTTGTTAGACCCAATATACTGTGCCATCATTCTTATGTCTCTCCATGGCCAATAGAATTTTGGCCATGGAGAGAAGGTATACAATTTTGTGGCTACACGGAGGCAGCAGTAGAAGTTATGATCGTACGCATAAGCTCGTCAAGACTGATGTGAAGGTCGAATTGAAGGTCAAAATGGTGTCCCCGCAGGCTGGGAGGAAGTGAATGGTGTGGTGATATTGTGTGATGGATCAAACTAAAACTCTCACCTGTGTTAGACCCAGTGCACCGTGCTGTCCTTTTTAATGTGTTTCCAAAACGCCACATGTGGAATCTTATGCCTACACCGATCGAGGCAACAACAGAATTTGTGATCGTATAAAAGTGCTGGGAAGATACTAAAGGGTATTGACACACCAAGTACTCAATATTAAATAAAGTGTCTGGTAACGCTACGAAACATTTGTCGAAGGTTTTGGTGAGAAGACCCCGACAATTACATAAAATACCGGGAAAAAGACACACGTTTCGAGTAAAAACAAAGTGTTTTTAATATGTATAGCAAATAAAGTGTCTGGTAACGCTCCAAAATATTTTTTGGGTAGAACAGAAGACGTACAATCACAGAACATTCCTGGAAAAAAGTCAGACGTTTCGAGTAAAAACAATTTTGTTTTGAACAAGGTATTCACGTCCATTCCCTTCACACACATGCACACTTATAAGTTATATGCCTAACATTATACTCCCACATACGTACGACAACTTGTCATGATCATCTTCGTCATCTAAACCATCCGTGTGATCTATGTCCATTAAATGACACAGAGGATAGAAATTCCATAATATAATGTAAACCCTTCACAATATGGTCTGCATAATAAGAATAAGGAACGACCAGTTCTAGAATTACCTGCTATAGCGCTAGGGGGGCGTAACCTATACCATTATTTCCTGCAATCAAAACCATAGCACACCAAGGACAAAAGGTACAAGGAAGACACTGGTTTGTTGTCATGTAATGCTTTATGTATATCAAACAGTTTGAGAGATGCTATTCAAATAGTTGTCGCTGTGTCTGTTTCAGGATGAGCGGAACCAGATCCTGACTGCGTACTTGTGGCTCCGACAGGTCAGTTCTCTGTTTCACATCTCTTGCAAGAATGCTTCTCGTGGATTTTACCATATCAAACTTATGCCTATATAATGTTGTCGAAACAGCATTCAAAGCAATTTCTCCAAATTTTTAAATTTGACACAGCTTGTTGATGATAGTCGTGTAATCAAATGTTTTTTTACTATCATGAAAGTTCATCTGTGTTGGTAGTTACATATTTAAAGTTAGAACTTTTGTTCCAACACAAAAATTCTCTCACCTTGAGCTTTCGACCAGTCACTCTGGTCTTCCTCAGTAGACTGACCCAGTGAAGCTTGTCACGTGGCTTCTTTGAAGTGTGACGTCAACACTGGGTCAAAGGTATCTGGTAGACGATGTCGACCCCCGTCGCGGTTCAATGTAGGGTGATGGGCCCTGATGTATATGGCTTCCTTCACCCCTCTCAAGAAATAGTCTTGTTCGGTGTCTAAATGTTTTTTTTGTTAACCGTACAATTGGATGATCAGTGCACCATCCAAAATCTCTCGCAATACTTTACCCAAAGGGAATGCTATACCGTCTTTTCTTGGTTTTGCGATTCCCAGTTTACATAAATACACATTACATCGCGCATTTTATGACAAATTTCACGACAATGCTGGCAGTGAAAATATTGCTAAAACCCCTCATTACTGATAATGCCTGTATGCGGTCATGTTTCAGAACTGGGTGGATGAATTCCTACAGTGGGACCCTGCGGACTATGACGGACTGGAGTCACTGAGAGTTCCCTCCCGCATGCTGTGGACTCCAGACATAGTGTTGTACAACAAGTAAAGTTTGCCCTTTCTCTGTTGTAGATAGTTCGTATGACTTTATTTGTGGTCCCATGTAAAGATGGTGTGTGTTCATTGCGGATTTTGTATGTTGTCAGAGGAAACTATTACAGTACAGATAATATAGGTGCCGCTTTTATCTTTCTTATCTTATCTTTCTAAGCCAAATAATGTTTTTAAACATCTTCTGAATGTATGTGAAGACGAATTGACCTGTCTAGGAAAGTTCTCACTGATTTTAAGCCTAATGTCTAGTATATCTTTTTGAATAAGGGACTCTAATTGCCCTTTTGAAATGCTGTATGTGGTGTATTTATCTATCAGGTGAATTTATTTATAACTTTGTGTAAAGTAAAAACTGTATGTTTCTCTCACAGCGCCGACGACGACTTCTCCAGCCGTATGGAGACCAACGTGGCGCTGGACTTCACCGGCCACATCTACTGGGACTCCCCGGCCATCACCAAGAGCTCCTGCGAGGTGGACGTCTCCTTCTTCCCGTTCGACCGGCAGAAGTGCCGCCTGACCTTCGGCTCGTGGACGTACAGCGGCGGGCAGATCGACGTGTTGAACGAGTCGTTCACGGGAGACCTGACCGACTACGTGCGGAACGCCGAGTGGGAACTGGTCGGGATGCCCACGAGGAGAAACCTCATCGTCTACGGCTGCTGCCCCGAGCCGTTCCCGGACGTGACTTTTACCATCATGCTGGAACGAAAATCTCTGTACTACATCTTTAACCTGATCCTCCCGTGCATGCTGATATCTATGCTAGCGCCCATGAGTTTCTACCTCCCGGCAGACTCCGGAGAGAAGGTGTCCCTGGGCATCACAGTACTCCTGGCGCTGACCGTGTTCCAACTCGTGGTCGCTGAGGCACTCCCGCCTTCTGAGAACATCCCCTTGATAGGTATGTGTACGGTAGTCGATGTTTAGAAATTGGCTTATTTTTGACGTGCTTATGTGTTTTTATCGGGCTTTCTTTTTCTGGAGAGTGGTATTTTTTGGCCAGGCAAATTTAAATGTCGGGTGGTGTATTTGATTAGCATCTGTCCTTGGTGCTGAACTATTGGTTTTATTGTGTAAAGAAACCTTTTTTTACACGAGTCTTTTATTCACAAATATTGGTTTCATTGTCTTTCAACTGCATGAATTATCCAGCGATGGCCCGACCAAAATCTTTCACATAACATTTGCATGTCACATTTAGATGTATCTTCTTCGTGTCATCCATCCAGGAAAGTACTACATCGCCAGTATGACGCTGATGTCCCTGTCCACGGGGATGTCGTGTTTCGTCATGAACATCCACCACTGCGGCCCAGAGGCTCGCCCCGTCCCCCGCTGGATGCGCTGGCTCATCCTCAAGTGGCTGGCCCAGATCCTGCTCTTCCGCGACCTCAGCATCCCCTGCTGCAAGAACGACAAACCCAAGTGCCGCGCCTCACCGCGCACGAGCAGAAGCGGCAGCCACCACGACTGCGACAACAACACCGCCAGCTGTGCGCATGCCCGGGAGCGCGCATGCTCGTTAGAAGACCTGAAGAGACCTGACGAGGTGCACTTGCGTTCTTCTCTGCGCATGCGCTCAGAGGACGTGCTGAATGGCGGGAGAACGTCCACCACCATGCGGAACAACACGAACTGCAGGATGGGAGTCGGCTACGAGCTTGTAGAACTTCAGAAGCCGCCTGGGGTCGTGGCTGCAAACAAACTGGAGAAAAGACTGGATAAGATTGAGAAGGAGGTTCGATACGTCACAGATCGGCTCCGGAAGAAGGATAAGGAGAACATGGTGGCCGCGGAGTGGCAGAGAGTGGCTAAAGTGGTGGACAGACTGTTCCTGTGGCTCTCGCTGCTAACCGCCATTGCCGTCAGCCTGCTGATACTGGGATCTTACGTGTGACTGCAGCAGACGTTCGACTCGCCAGATGTCGCTTTCACTATTCCCTGACTGGTCAAGGAAGATCAAGGTTATCCCGAAAACCTTTATGGAAAGACCAGGAGGGCACTAGCACAAAACGTAGTTTGTGTGACACATTTTGGTCCTGAAAAATGATGGAATTGTCAACTTAACGTTACATGTTAGTCATTGCTGCCTCAGCTGCACAATAACAAAGTGTACTAAGATACTGTAACAAGCATATCTAAGGGAAAGACATATTACTATCATTACATTTAAGGTCCATTTTGAGGACGCTTTCTATGTACTAAGAAACATTTCTGGCTGCTGAGGGGATTACGAACTGTAAGTCTACAATGTACAAATGTAGATGCACTTCAACGTCACACATTGAAAAGAAGGAGAACATTCCTTAGATTTTGCCATTAAAATGTAATGCAGTTGTAATTTTTTTTGCCATCCTGGGGATGCAAAAGAGTAAATGGGAAAACGTAGACGTGGCATCATTGTAACATCATTGACGAGGAAGTCTATGTAGCTATCTGTAATTATCTTTACAGAAGGAAAACAATTTGCCGGGTTTCTTCTTTTGAACAAGTAAGGTCAATGACCTGGAACAGATGGCTCTCACCATGGTAACTGGTGATGTAGCAGACACTCTGTGGTGTTGGGTTACATTATGTAGCAAGTTGCAGAATAGAGTTGGAGGGGCTGGTCACTATATATATGAATGAATTTAAGAAAGAGGAATAGAGCAGTATTTTGTTGGGCTAGACCATGTGAAGGTAAACATAATGTATTTGCTCACAAATGTTGCCTTTCTAGTTTTGTGCTACGTGTATTCCTATGAAAACTCTAACTTAGAATGTAAGCTCCTAGAGCTGTCTTGTTGGTACCATACATGTTCATGTAGACACATCTACTATTATCAGATCAGTGGGCCAAATTCCTAATGAAAATGAATGGATACAGATGGAAATTTGGTTGTTTTGTGTTGCATAAAAGTAAACACTGAAATTCACTTTATCTTTAGGCCACACCAATTTTATTTCTTGGTTAACGGATTTTTCTAGAAAAATAATTGAGCGGGCGGGCGAAAAAAATAAAAACAGGCCTATGCATCCTATTATGGCCCAAAATGGTACGATAGGAGCCATGGAGCCAACACACCAGGCTGGTTCAAAATTTAACCAATGAATTTTTAACTTTTAATGATACCGTTGCATTGAAAGATAGAATAACTGTAACAACTAGGATGAAAAGGACTGTTTTCAACTGTTCAGGGCAAAATATGAGCATTTTGCAGTTGATTCTGAATTTTTATTTTTATTTTCAAATCAGAAAAAAACAAAGTGGGCGAATCCGTTAACCAAGAAATTAAATTGGTGTGGCCTTACAGTAGCAAAATTTTGCGGTCTGAGGAAAATGGACATGTTCATGGAACTTAATCTTCAGTGGAAGGAGATGGGGAAGAAAGATAAATGATTTGATAAGTTGATGATAATGGTTATGATATGTCATGGTACAAAAGTAACTTGATGCAAAGAGCACTGGCTGTCGTATACAAAATACAGAGAATTTAATTATGTTTTATCTGAACTGTAAGGAACTTTCTGTTAGTTGTTGGGATACTAGGCTAAACAGTTCAGAGTGGTCTGTGCTATATACATTACAGGTGCCTTTTTCTGTTCAAAGTATCTAAGAAAAATTACACTACCGGTAACATCAAATCACGACACAAGAATAAAAAAAATGGTAAAATTAGAAACTTGTTTATTGAGATGTAAGAGAATATTTGCATAAGGATAAATGATTTATGACCATATTTGTACAATTGACAATAATAGAAATAATAAGATATATATACACAAAGAAATATTCTACACAAAGAAGCTTGGACATGAAAAATTAACATGGACAGTTGTCTTCACAGTAAGTACAGGCTGAATTTTTGCAGGGTTGTACATGGAAGGGAGTTAGGATACAATTTTTTTAGCATTGACATAAATGTACTCCCCAGTACAAATTCATTTCTCTCTACCCCCTCCAACCTTGAGTGGTCCCATCCTCACTTCCTTTGGAATCCCGGAAAAAACATGGGTGGGTTAGTCCATTAGAGAATCATGGGGAGATAATTTATGTTCACCCATATTATCTGCTTGATTTTGCTTTAAACACAATGAATTTTTCGTATCAAAGCCTTTTTCCAGTACTTTGACTTTCTTTTTCTAATAAGGAAGATCTGTGACCGCCCTCCCCCATGCATATACATGTATCTGAATACATACACATACTCTTCTGAAAAAAAAAAAATTGGACAAAATATTTATAACATGTTGCATCCACAAGTTATTATAGTAGACCTAATCATCATGCTATGGTAACAAAACTTGGAACTATTTTTGTTACAAGTTGTGGTCTTAAAACAGAAATATTACCTATGATACAAGACAAAATTACAAGTAATATTCCAATGTGATAGAGCATATTACAAGAGATATAACTAACAGAACTGTGTCAACATTTTCAATGATGAACTTTAACAAAGCACCATTTAATAATAATGTAACCGTATTAACTTGTGAAGAGAAAACTTCACTGGAAGACCTACTATGTATCCTAGTATGCATCAATGAGCATTTGAATACTGATTATGAACATTTTACCACAAAATGGTTTACTTGCATAAAGCTTGGTGGATTTTCTTAAGTTCTAACTGAGCTAAATCCAGCTGTGACACACAATAACTTTGTTAAATGACCAATGTCATTTGAAATTTTCAATGTCCTCTCATTGCATCAAAATGTAAAACAAAATAGTTGTTTTTCCATCCAAAACTACATGTATATCGAATCAACATACATGCATCTTGTCTAAACATGTATTATATAACTGATTTTTAAAATTAGTGATCAAATGTTAGACTGAAAAAAGAGTTTAAATCAAAACTCACTAATTCTACAGAAAATATCATTGATATCATACTGCTTGTGTTTCCCATGTATATTGCTATTTTGTGTACAATCAACTGTCCTGTCAAATGCCTCAGCCTTATTGAACTCTGGTAAAAATGTACAAAAAGGTACTTGATCCAGCAATGTACATAGCAAGGACAGCTTTCTTTTTAACATACAGTTCTAACCTATGATGTCTCTCGGAACATAAAAGGAAATAATATGTATTGTAACTATACGTCTTGCTATCATTTTGGATTGGAGAAAGATTACGTCCTTAGTAAATTATTTGACACAAAATACAACAGTGAAACTGAACCTCTTTCTTACCAAAGTTAGGTGGATTGCCTCAAACTTCAGTGATGAAAGGTTGTCATGGAAGAATGCTAAGTTTACAACCTTTCGCAGTTTTCACAACTTTTCACAAACACCTTATGTCTTTCTCTGTAAGCTCTGTTTGCGAATGGCAATTCTCTCTCAGAAATCTTTCAACAATTTGTTCACCGTTTTCCTATTTGATTTCCCAAATCCTGATAATGTACATATGGTTTATCCATGTTTGAGACTACAGGGGCTAAAGAACTGATTTTTTTAACGGAAGACCTCATCTATAAAGACTGTTACTGACTAATTATGTAACATAATACTCTTGTTATCAATTTTTATAACTAGTAATAGCACCCTGTTGTTCATTGTGTAGAACCTAGATTTTGCATTGAGTAAGTTTCAGAAGTGGTGAAAGATTCTGTGGCCTAACATGGCCATGTCACAGTGCTTGAATGTACAAGTTGGCAGTTGCTGTTCCTCTTTGACTTCCTAACTACTTACTGTTGCTAGCCTCCTCTGCAGACTTCTACCCTCTAGAACTTTAACCTGTATAAAAAATCGCATACCAGTGCTCCAAGAAGTCTGCAAAGGAGGCTATACTGTCACCACTTTGCTAAATTAAGTACAGAGAAGAAGACTTTCATTCTTGCAAAACCATCAACATCCTTCCAGGGATGTCATATACAAAGACTCATCTTTTGAGGCACTAATACCAATAACATTACTCCAAGAGTGAAGTCAGTGGTTAACTGTACCATTCTTCCTCTTGATATACCATTGTTTTGGTTACAAAATCAGCAACATATCTAACAATACTGAAATAATCATAATACTTTTCTTATCTAACATTATGTAGCTATGATTTTCTGTTTGTACTGGTTTGGTTACTTTTTTTCCTATAGTTTTTTGTTCGTGTTAGTTTGTAACTTTACTACATAGGTGACCATAATGTACATAGTTTTATTACATAGAACAATACAGCATGTCGGCAGAATGTACTGCAACTGCATGAAACCCACATTTCTCATGGTTTTCATTGTATCAGAATTTTGCCTCTTGCAGACAATATATTTTCTGACACAACATTTAAGATCTTAAACGAGAGGTTCTGCCATATACACAACACATTACATTACAGGATTCATGTAGGCGCAGTACGTTCTACCAACATACTGAACAATATGACCTTCAAAGATGCTTGTGTGAGAGCTTCCCTCTTTCTTAAAACTGATTCTGACATTTTACAGCCAGGAAAAAAATTGCCTGTGGTCTGATGTCACGTTTTGCCACATAAAGGGTTATTCCAAGATTGAAACAGTCTGTACAGCCCATGTACTAGTTTACATATGGATCATAAACTGGTGGCTACACTTCCTATTTTTGTGATGTCAAAATATCATCTCCAATTTCTTCTGGCTCTTTCCACATATCAGCATGCCTAGTTGTTGTACAGTACTGTTGTAGATAGCTAATATATGTACATTGGCATCTGAAGACTATACAATTTGTCTCTACAGATGACAGCCATTTTAAGTACAACAACAACTAGAAATGCTGACATGTACAGATAATACAGCCTCTCCAGTAGGGCTATGTGAATGTTACTTTTAAGACACAAAGCTGGCCTGACTCAATGTGAATATCCATATATAATAATATACGTATGTACAGCTAATAGTGATAAGAGTGGAGGCAGTGTTACGTGGGTTTCGTGCCTGTGTTACGGACCCAGCCCGGTCGAGGTGGTCGGCTCGTGACCACCGTTTGCGCCCGGCCCAGCCGGCGCCACGTCTTCTGTGATGCTGCCACCTCTCCTGAAAAACAGACAAACAAAGTCAAGTAAAGTCAGCCATCACTTACAACATAACAAAGGGCACTCTTGAAATCTCAAGTCAACTGACATCCTGGTCCAATTCGCTGGTGGAATGCGGAGTAAAAGAAGCCATCTACATGTACAAGCAAATTTACTACAATGATTATCCCACCCTAAAGAGGAAAGAGGTTCTGCTTGGTCTTGGACCCTACCCTGCAACACAACAGAGCATGATGGCAGAACGTACTGCGCCTGTTCAAAACCCATAATGTACCGTATTGTGTATGCCATAGTAATTAAGCAGAATGTCTTGTTTAAGGTTCTATTTGAATGTATATTCAAGGATGGCATCCTGTCTTTAGTTTTCAAATGTTGTGTCAGAAAAAATATCCTCTGCAAAAATTCTGATGCAATGTTGACCAAACATTGAAGAAAAAATGTGAAAAATCTGGGTTTTGCATACTACCAAACAGTACCCCTGTGGTCCAATGGGTTTTTAAGGAGCTACATGTACATGCAGTGAAAAGAACAATGAAAAGTTCAATGGGTATTGCTACCTGAGAATGTCCTCTGCAGCAGTACAGTGTGGTCTTGGTCCAGGTTCTGGAGTGTACGTGAAGTTGAGCGAGGTGGGGTAGATGACGCCATCGTTCCTGACCAGGGAGATGGGCACCTGGATGGGCTGTCTAACCCAGCGCCACCCCTCCCTGAAGGCTGAGATGTCAGGCACTACGCATAGCATGTTCTCTCCACATCTGTAGTGTACAAATGGCACATGTCAGGCACTACGCATAGCATGTTCTCTCCACATCTGTAGTGTACAAGTCACAAGTTAGGCACTACGCATAGCATGTTCTCTCCACATCTGTAGTGTACATGTCACACATGTCAGGAACTACGCATAGCATGTTCTCTCCACATCTGTAGTGTACATGTCACACATGTCAGGAACTACGCATAACATGTTCTCTCCACATCTGTAGTGTACAAGTCAAACATGTTAGGCACTACACATAGCATGTTCACACATGTCAGACACTATGCTGTAGCAAGTTCTCTACACATCTGTCATGTACAAATTGCACATGTCAGGCACTACACATAGCATGTTCTCTACACATCTGTCATGTACAAGTCATGGAGCACATAATGACTCAACAAGTGTCAATAAAAAAAATGCTAGAAATATACTTCTTGCAACAACATGTCCCCTAACTTTTGGTAAACGCTATTGCTTGACGTACCTGTACATAGTCTCTGCCTCCACATTGCCAAACCAAACCTTCAGTGCAGGGGTGAAGTTTTCCCCTTGTACCTCTAACATAGCGACATCACCTCCTCCATTCAGCTGGGGAAAGAAAAAACATATTAGCCACTGCACTGTCATTCATAATATAATACAGTAGGGCTGTGTACCTTATACTTGTACATGTAAATGTACCTCTCAAATCCTGTACCTGTCAAATTCTTCAGGTACAGGTCCAGACCTGAACATTCAGTGTACCTGTACTGTACCTCAACAAAATGATACACTAGTGAAACCAGTTTTCCCACCAAAGATAGGTAAATTGCATCTAACACTCTAAAACTTTTAAATACTTTTTAATTTAGAATTCATGCACCAGAGAAAACATTATCAAATTACATTCTTGCTTCATGTCTCAAATGAAAGGGTATAATAAAATATATCCTCGAACCTGTACATGAACGTAATAGTACACTATTGACGTAGTAAATATAAAACTTGTCCAGGTACATAAAACGTCATCACCATGACCTGTACTTAGCCCATCAGGCCATAACAGTACAATAAAGGTCTGCATTATCAAATTTTTATAATAAATCAGTTCCACGGACCTGTAAGCTGTCGACCACAGGCACTGGTGTGAGTGGGGCGTGGACTGGACCCATCCCCTCGTAGAACGTGTACTCTGCCTTGTCTGTACTGATGATCGTCCACGACGCTCCGTCATTGATCATCTCCTTATTAGGCTCTTTGGGGCAAGGCGTGGCCTGAAAAAAAAGGATAACCATACAACCAATTTACATATTGTGAATGGTATTTAAAGCATACTTCTAACTTGTAACAATCTGTTGATTGAGGTGATTGGATTCTATTGAAATGTTAATATTTTAGAGATTAACAATTTTAGGTCTAGATTTAGGCATGCTGAATGAAAAACCACAAAACAAAACAAGACTTAGGTCCCCTTCTTACTAGACAGTGATTGCTTTTCTAGTGAACAAAATTGGATTTGTGTGACTGTTAAGTTGATAATTGTGATATGACACAAGATGTAAATTTGAAGTATGATTAAAAGACAAGACAAAAAGGTTAGGTAAAGAATTTGTTTTCTTTCATGTAGATAAAATTTGTCAAATGTTTGGTTGCTAAGTGGGTGGAGCCTCTAGTGGGAAAGAAGATGTGACTAACATGCATTGTACAGAAGGAATGTTTTCTTATTTTCCTGAAGTTGTCAAAGAAAAAACAGCACTAGAACACCTGTGTCTTACCTGGAACTGTATTATCCTCTCCTGTGAGAGACACAGGTACATCCTCTCTGTATCCTTAAGGTAGAAGGCACATTTATGGAGCTGGGACACTGGGTCATCTGCATCTAGCAGGGCTGTCTGTTTGTCAACTTTTCTGATTATCTGTGGACAATAAATGGCAGATATTAAGTCATTTCAGTGCAACACATTTTAGAGATGCGGAATGCTCCCAACATTTTATTTTCTTGCTTCCTGGCTATTTTTAGCAAAAATTCAGCAAAAAGAGAAGATGAAAACAAAGGGTTAGGAGGAAAACTTGCATCTGAAAATACCCTTAAAGTTTACTAATATACCGACTATTCCCTGACCCTGTTTTTATTTTGAAATTCCTTTTTTTCCTTCAAATCCAAGAAACAGAAATAAAGATTGGTTTGGTCTAATGATGTTGTCTAGATATTTCAACTCAAGTTTCCTTCAATGCTGATTTATCTAAATATTAGAGGAACAATGAAGACTTAGCAATCTTAGCTGTTTGTCTGTAGTACATGTAACCATGTCAATGTTAACTTACCAATCTTACTGTTTGTCATAGTGAATGTAGCCATCTCAATGTTGCTAGTAACTTACCAATCTGGGAAGAGCCATGCCAGTTTTGGAGCAGACCAGTTTGACTGTTTGTCCGTAGTGAATGTAACCGTCTCTCACTGTGAACTCTTCACTCTCTGACTCTGCATCATCCACTGAACAGGACAGGGAAACATAATATAAAGACCATATGACACCAATAACACTAAAATACAACAGTTCCGCATAATAGACAAACATGATATGTATTATTCAATGAACAAAGATGTTTGGTCAAAAACTACACTCTTCTGGTGTTAGGGAACATCAAATCTTGCAGATCATTCTTTCAGCTTGATTTCTGTTGCCAGTTTATCCAATTAGATTCCAGAAATGATGTCATATTGAGCATGACGGCCAGATCAGAACCTGGCACAATGGTTCGTAAATAACATTCGAATCAAACAATTACTGTGACTACATACAATTGCAAGTTATCAATGTTTGCTTTTCTTTCTTATACTATTTTTGGCACTGAAGTTTAACATCTTCCACTGTTAGCAGATAAAAGTTACTTACAATTACACTTAAGTTACCACAGTTTCTACATTTTCTTATGTGAACTTCAGAAGTATGAAAGGTGTACAAAGACTACAACGTACAGAGGTGTATACTGAAGGCTCCCCACTGTTGTGAGCTAGCATGGAAGTTTCCCCCCTCCACGTGGAGATATCTGGTGCTGACTGTCTGTGATCTCAACCTGTTGAACAGAGCCACCTTCGTACCGGACGCAATGCACACTGGAAACAACAACAAGTTTGTTTGTCAACACTTTACATCAAGCTCAAGGGTAAAATGGACTCAATTACTGAGGCTTTGCAAGTACCAAGCCACTATTCTTATAAGCATGCCTTTTAATGCTGTTTTTTTTTTTCAGATTATCATTTTCTTCATTCATTCTTTCTCTGGATAGTCTAGCAAATGTGTAAAAATGATGTTTTCTTTGTTATCTTAAAGCAGTAAAATTTCTCTACAGCTGTAGATTTGACCAACCATACAATGATCATTTTACTCTTCCACAGTTTCATCCATTATCTATTTCACAGTTGAGCAATTTAGAGTAAAAACAAAAGCTGTAATAGTGTAAACATCATTTTTTTTATGCCCCAACCATTGGATAAGAATTCCTCCCTGCTACATGTATGTGCAAAGGCTGGTTCTGCAATGTGTTGCCAAAAAAGAATTCCCTAGGGAATGTATGTGTGGAATTACTTAGTAAGAATATTTGCAATATCAAACACAGTTCTCACTCACTCACTCACTCACTATCCGTTTCTGTTCTATTCTACAGTTCTGTACTATTCTAATAGCTTTGCCCCTGTGGCATTGCCAAAAACACAATGGTTAATACAGGAACTCACAGTCTGCATTTTTCAGCGACTGTTTCTTCTTGGAGGGTTTGGAGATGACCTTGATCCTTTTGCTGAAGAAGACCCCGATGTCGTCCTCATTCCCACAGAACATTTTCACTGACAGCATAAAGTGTTTTCTCTTGTCTGAGTCCGATATATACAGGGTTTTGGCTGCACAGTAATTCTGGAGGGGAAAACAAAGAGAGAACATAACATGAGAATAAGAACTCTTGTACATGTACATTCAAAACTGCCCAAGGCCACTCAGGGGGCTGATAAAATCTGGTCTATGTGGACAGGTAGTCACTATAGTATTCTTAATGCGTATGTCAATGGGAACAATTATCAAAAAGTGATCACATTGGATTTGCCTGCACCACTCAGAATTTAGGAAGCATGGATCATACTAAAAAAATGTTCAGAAAACATAGCTATTGTTTCTTTTACACTTCATAAGTGGTAATACTAATAGTCAATGCAGCAAAGTCTTACATGTATATATAGTACATGGAAGAAATACCTGCAATTTTGCCTGCAGTAACAATAACATGCAATGCATGCATATGTAGGTGGTATTTTCAGCCCTGCACTGCTCCAATTTTATCTGCACTAACCTGCATTAGCAGAATAGTATTCCGAGCCCTGCACAGTTCCAATTTTACCTGTATTAACCTGCATATGCATGTAGTATTTAAATTTTTGAGCCCTACACAGTTCCAACTTTACTTACACTAAAATAGTGTTTCAAGTATCTACTACACATTAGTAATAGAAATAGTAATAAGAATAGGGAGACTGTTTAAGAATAAGACTGTTTCCCACCTTCCCCTCTAAGTGTAATTGTTGCATCTCCTGTTCGCTGTTCCCGATGCCGATGAAGGCATGTACGGTCGTCTCCTGTTCCGTCGCCCCGTCCTTCTCCATCTGTTCCTTCCTGTTCTTCCAGCCAGGACCTTGTAAGTACACACAGGGGGGAGGGCAGAAAAACCTGAAACACAAACAAACAACTCAGTCTCTCAATCAGACAATTTTATACACATTCAGGTCTGGAAATACTTTTTTTTGCATACCTGCACTGGTGTAGATAACATTAAAAATTACCTGCACCAGACAAATTTTACCTGCACCACTCAGAATTGTGAATTATAACAACAATGTATAAAGTATAGATCATACTAAAAACCTTTTAGTAACCATTGCCATTATCTCTTTAAATCTATATTTCAAAGCTGGTAACAGTCAATGCAGCAAATGAAAATCCACATACACATGTATATATTACATGTATTACCTAGTATGTGGACCAGTGCAGGTTAGGTGCAGGAAGACATCAGAAAAATCTGTATTCGTCAAGATGTTTTTGTTTGCTGCCCCAAAATTGCATTGACTAGATACATATATACTGGTAATTTCAAAAGGCATATCATCTTAAACATCAGAGGAGGCAGAGGAGTGTGTTACCTTTTTTCACTGCCGTAGGATTTCTGGGCTACTTTTGCATGTTGGATGACTAGTGTGTGGTCCAGACTCGCCTTGTCTTTTAAGTACCTACTCATGGCTTCCCTGGGGGTGGAAAACACAACCAGTCAGCACCAGCACAATGAAAGGAGGAAAAAAATACATACTGTCTGAGAAACAGTTGTACCAGACTATAACTTAGTATAAGATGAGATGACATCAATAGTATTGTTAATAGTTCCTGAAAATAGTGATAGGCATTATTCTGTGAACAAAGACGGTTCAACAAAAATGATTAAAAAGAAATATTTGCTCCTCGAAAGAGCTTTTCGATGGTATGTTTGTATGATTGTATGTATGCATGTATGTGGTTTAGCACAATAATCCTATGGATGGAATGATTAAATTTTGTGTTCCCTGGCGGCTTGTTATTGTACTGCAGTGGAAATTCCAGTTTTGATATCTCGTGATCTGGTTAAGTATTAGATAGTGTGAAGTAACATTCTTTCTAGTCTCTTTCTCAAAAGCATTTGTGAAATCTTAAAATTTGAAGAACAAAATATCACGCTGTCCACTCTAGACTATAACACTATGCGCCTACATTTGGCTAACGTATTTTCATAAACTTCTTTCCAGCATGTATCTGTGAAAGTTTTGCATTAGTCAGGTACAGTAAAAAGTTGAGGTGGTCCCAGATATTTATGTATATGCATAATTATGCAGACATAATTACGATAATTTGTTGTTTTCAAATGGTTTTGGACATTTCTGCCACAGACAATAGTCAGATCCTGTTACTTCCAGCTGGTTTTCCCACGGTGATCAGTTACCGGAACAGCCAACCTTTCCCTGTCAACTAACCATGACGTAAGGAACAATACCAAAACACCTGACTCACTGGTTACTGTTGGAACAGTCTACACAAAATGATCTACAACCAGTCAAGTGATGAAGCTAAGTTTTGGGGTAACTTTTTAGAATAGAAGACAATACGTTTTTGAAGTCAAATTACATCACATAGTTGAAACTATACAACGTGATATATACTTGATGTTGGTACGATACAAAATTTTACCTGCTTCATTTAAGCAATAAAAATTTGTTTCTGGGGAGAGCAAATGGGAGCTAATTTTGTTTATTCAAAATATTATGGTTTACGAACAATTTTTTTCAAATCACAAAATCACAAGAAAACTTGACAGACCATCTGGCATGTGAAATGGCCTTTTTCATTCCAATCCAAAGGGGCTAATAAGGAATCTACACTGATCACTCCCGTTGAGTTTAACAAAATGTATTACATGTATATACAATATATATATAAATTTCCTCCCCCTCCAAACTAAGTGGACTTGCCCATGTCTGGTTGAACACAATCGATACCCCCTCCAAACTATGGTAAGTGGACTAGCCCATGTCTGGATGAACAGAAGGCCACAATATGGAAAATGCGCTGCGATTGACCCATAGACCCCTGGGCTCACAATGGCTGCCATTTGGGGCTCAATTTTCCTGGTACAAAATACAATAGGACTTATTGCACCAGGCACGGCAATCTAAACTGTCAGCGGTTTCAAATTTAGGAGGACTTTTTTGCATCTGTGGCAGCACAGGATGCAACAATGTGTGCCATTATTATGTCATGGTAGAAACTCTGACCTGGTACAACTGACAATTCTATAGGTAGACATCCCACTTATATATGTACTAGTAGTAGTCTCTATCAACAGAAAGCCTGATTGGGACTTCTCTACTGGTACAACTTGTGATTGGAGGGGAAGGGGAAGAAGAAACATCATGATCAGGAAAAAACAATACATTTTATTCATACAATGATCTTATGGACTGAAATGTAATACCTAAATGTATTTTTGAATGAATAAGCTTACCTAGTCAGTCTCCTGGGCTCTTGTCTTTTCTGTACCTGCCTCGGTTCTTCATACTGGTTGCTGCAAAATAAAGGAAGGACTTACAGATCTGGAAGAGGTCAATGAACAGTAAACCCTTCAATCAATCAATCAATCAACTGACCAACCAACCAATCAAGGGCACTAACAGGAGACATGTACAGACAAAAGTGTGCATGACAACTGTCCTAAGTCCTAACCTTCACCTTTGGTATAAGCCTATTCGCCATTACCGGCGCGAAATGCATGATGGGTAATATCCGCCATTTTGAGAGATAAACAAAACCGCGTCGCCCCGCGACACAGCGAGCGCGAGTGTCGAATCCCGCTACGTAGCTAAAAAAAATGAGTTTACCCGGGCCGTAAGTGGAGATTTTATATCTTATTGGACGGCAAAGATGACAGACGTTTCTTGGTTGAGGTTAGACTGCCGGTAACTGCCGGTTTTCAAGGCGTTTCCGCGAGTCACGTCCAGGGGGAAAAGCCTACAACTTCAAGGCGCATACAACTTCGTATGCTTAAAAGAATCACGACGCGGTTGCCGAATTCGCCGAAGACAGCAGCAGGTTCAGTTGTGAATGTCAAGAATTATAGTCAAGAATAAAAAAAATTCACCTATTCTCGGCCCGGTGGGCTTCACGGAAGGGTAGTTCGTCGAACCGAAGGACGACGTCAAAGGATGCCCCTCCCCCCGCACTTAAAAATCGGCCCAGCACTGATCATGAGTTTAGCGAGCCGGCCCTGTGCCTCCCATACTACGTAAAACGGCTGTCGGGCGACTATGATGAGGAGAAAACATACTCCTACTTCGACTTTGAATGGGTAAGCGAAGTCCCTTACCACCATATTACCCCAACTGCAGACAGAAATTGCTTCCTCAAACGACTAGGCACATCTTACCTCCTTAGTCCACACTGTCTTGGCCGCGGAGACGAACTTGTCCACAGACCCAGGATACAGAACCCAAGACATAACAGTAGTATTCAAGCAACCATGGCATTAATTTTCTTTGAAGAACCTTGTGTTTAGTAAAGGATTGTTGCATGTTGCCAGTAATACTTGTGTTAGTGTACAGGTCTTTCTCAACATATATGGCATTGTATATTTAATATCATATTTCCTATGCACCATTCATTAAGTGCTGTCCACATATAGAGAGATATGGGAATAAGAAAAATATCAAAATGGTGCTTGTTTTGTTTTCTTTATAGTATATACATGTATGTAACAGTACAATCAGTGTCCAGGGAAATAGTAATTGAAAGGTTATCTGAGTTGGTAAGTTACATATTTTATTTAAAAAAAAACTGTTCTCCAACTCAAGAAATTTGAGTTTTCAACTATATCTGTCTTCATCAACTATCTGAGCCAAGTGCTGTGGCATTATATTTTCTACATCACTTTGATTGCAGAGCTGTTTGTGTGTTAACACAGTAAGTTTATGTTTAACGGTGCTTGTATGTTTTCTATCACAGTGTGAATGTTTACAGTAATCTAGTAATCGCCATCGTACAACCTATGCTGTCTTGCAAATATTATTTAGTATTTAGACAATAAACCGGATAGTGAATGTGAGTGAGTATGTAGTACTGTCAATGCAGTTAACTGACTTGTTTTTCTTGTGTTTGGCCAGAAAAACAACAAGAGAGTAGTTACAAATTATATATTCCACTTTCAAGATCCAAACGCAGGGGTCAGGTGTTTGGTGTAAGTAGTGTAAATGACTGGAGTTCTCTACATACACCTGATCTTATGGTCAACAGTCAGTGGAAAAGATCTAAACTTAAGTACTAGTACTTAGACCATCACTGGGAGCACCTGTGGTGCAGGCACGAAGGAGTCAACTACACCAGTTCACCACAGCTTTCTCAACTGCATGCGGAAAAAGGTATCTTAAGTGGTAAATATAGTGTTAATGACTTGACATCATGTTCAAATATATTATTTTCCACTAATTCAAGTTAATAAGTGAAAAGATAATCATATTGAATCTATTTACAGCAGACCCTTGTTAGACTAAAAGTCTGTACCAGTTTAGCAGTATTACTGCACAGAACTATCAAAATTCAGTACATAAAATATCTGTCATGATTACAATTTGCAGCACTGTTTATGTGCGGGTTACAATATACTTTCATGAAACCATTTCAGAACCTAAGTGTACTTGTATTTTTAGTATATTCCATCTGGGTTTGGCTTCAAGCTTGTTCATAAGTTTATTCCCTCTTCTCCTAGCATGAGGTTTTTTTCTTCTCATAGGAAAATGGTCCATTTTTTGTACCATGTATTTGGCATGTCTCTTCCATTTTTCTAGATGGTAAGTTGAATTGCTGCAATTCACTACTGCACACAGCTTCATGTTGAGGTCGGGAAAGTAACACTGTAAAAAGAAAAAGAGAAAAAAATTGAACCAAAAGTTGATGGATTTACGTTCAAAACATCAAGTCTTGAATGCACTAATGCAATGGCATTTGCATGCACAAAACCCCCATGGCCCTATGTATCCCGCTACGAAAACCACACTAAATATTTATAAACATATAGATGTCATCACTGCTTGTACTATTCCTAAATCATTATTTTAATCGGTAATAATGTCGTGGTGAGACGGTGAGGATTGTGGTTAGAAAGCTCTATGTGCTTGGGGTGACACAAGAACACGTAGTGTATCGGTCTTCTGAAGACAAAACTCATGCAGTTTATTTACGATTTTTACCGACTAAAACTGAGAAATTCCACCATTACCTTACACAAATAACCACTCTAACACGAAAAAAGGTATTCCAAAACTCGTTTTATCGAGATTGGACCGGAAAATTGAGCGGAAAACGTGAAGACGGAAGGCGTGCAGGATGGGGGAGGGGGGCATGCATAACTAATTAGGCGCTAGCGCTAGCTTGGATACCGTCAAAAAACGTACCGTAAATCCACTTGAAGATAAAGATATCGCGATATTTTAGGCAAGATAGGTCCAGAACATCGTTGGAACTCAGCCCAAGGCGGGCCACCACCGGTAACGCCGTGTGTAAGCTGGAAATCGAGACATACGCTGGCGCTGGGGACCATGGAGGCCGCGGGTTTGTTTATCTCCAATTCTTCGTCGCTAAGTAAACTCCGCGCAGGCGCACTAGTAATGGCGAATAGGCTTATTCATACATAGAAGCTCCTCCACTGATCAGGTTAATAACAGGGTAGTGTCAGTAGTCAGGACATGGACTAGTTGTCTGAAAGCTCAAATTTACCCAGCCAACTGGAGGGTTCTTCAGTTCTTAATGCATGATCACTTGGCTTTCAAGGAGACTGTCTGAATGTTGATTTCTTCATTGAACCTCATAAAACCATATATGTGTATGTAGGAACCCCAGATAGATTTGTAGCCTCAGCAGACAATTTTTTACCTCTTTATATACTGTGTTAACTTGCAATTTAGCCTTCAACCAGTTTGGGCACAAGTTATAAATAACTACAAATAAGATGCAAACAGATAAATAACTACAAGTATTGAAAATCATTCTCCTAAAAAATGCAGAAGTGGTAATGCAGGCTGGGTAATGGTAACCTGATCAGCAACACAGTCAACAACATTGAAAGACTCAATTTTCCTGCCAAAAATCAAACAAAATGGAAAGAACGCTTTTAAAGAAAGCACCTTCATAACGTTAACATGACTTTGTTAGATTTCAATGCACACCATCAAAATTTCCACAGATTCCCTTTAGGAATTTGACTATCACACAATTTGAATCCACAGGACTATGTACGTGACAAGGTGATTCAATCATCCACAATAAACAAAACCTCCAGCGTATAACAAATGCAGAAAGTTTGAAATCTTGAATCCTTTGTTAGGATTGTGTCTGCCACAAACAGCAAATGAGACGACAAAACAAATACTAATAGAAGAAACTTACATGCCAAAAAGTTCCCAGTACAGATAGTCAGGAAAGGGCAATGCACTGTAATTAAACATGATGCACAGGTATCCCAATGAGAATTCTTAATCTCCAAGCAGATCCTTTGGTGGCTACAAGACAGTATCAAATTGGCAAGAGCGCATCAAATAGCCGAAACAGTACTAGTATATGCCACGTTTGGCATACGAAAGAAAGCCAGATAAAAATGCCTAAATACGCGTCAAAAATAAACTGTTGCCTACACCCCTGCTTGGAGAGTAGGGAATTCTAACACTTCTACTCGTACAGGTGTGTAGTGTAGTTAGGTGTCGCCCCAGGGAGATGTGTGGGAAAAACATGAACAGTAAACAGTTGTGGCATTGAGGATGTCCTGGATGTGTGGGAAGGATCCTGTTCTCAGGAGTCAGGTTCTTCTCTGTCACTATCAGATACACCAACAGGGCTCGAAATTAAAGGTGTTCCAATGGCTACTGACCAGAAAAATCTGGGCTGCAACAACTAAAAAGACACTTTGGGACATTTTTGGAACATAATCAACATCAGAATGTCAGCCCTTCTTTTGTTTATCAGACACACGTCCCAGCTTTTGGATCCGTATATAAGTTCCCAAAATTTCCTGTCTACTCTGCAATTATAGTGCGCCTAGGAGTGAACATAAGCAAAATAAAGCTGACTTCAAGTTCAAGTCATACAGTACTTCTCTAAAAACAGGTTGGGACAGTTCATCCTTACTTTGGGACAATTGAAATTTATTTTTGGGACAGTGCTGGGACAATAGGAAGAAAAGTTAATTTCGAGGCCTGACCAAGAGCAGTAGACAGGGATTCCTGGCAGATAGCATCGAGATGGTGGCAGCTGGCGGCAAGGTGTTCTTCTAGTTAGGGTTGTTGACTCAGAATCTGAAGGTTCTGGGTTCAAATCTTGTTTTTGTGTCGTGTTGTGTCCTTGGGAAAGGCAGTTTACACCTATTTCCTCACTCACCCCAGGTGAAAATGTCATTGTACCTAGCGTCGGAACATTTAACATCATGGCTTCAAACTCACATCTCAGACAAAAAGATGAAAGTGTCCACAATATTCACAGTCATCTAGTTCTATCAAAGTTTCACAAAGTTTGAATTTGTATCAGTTTCTTTGAGGTACAGATATGTGTTTTGATACCAATGATGCTAATGAAGGTCATAGCTTAAGCCCTGATCACAACCCACCGTACATGCTTTTTGTCCGTACGCGTTTTGGGAGGCCACGTCTGCTACGTTTTTCTGAAAACGTGCTTTGTACGCTCATAGGCTGTACAGGGCACGCGCATCGCACGTACGGGTGTTGAATCCGCAGACTGCACGCATGTAAAGTTTTGCATGCACTTAAAGTTCTATGACGTCTGCGTGCTCCCAAATCCGTAGGACTACGTGCGTAGGTGGTACTAACCACCACGTACGGATGCCCTACGTTTTCCCACGTTTTTGCACGTAGACAGCACGCAGATGCACGACGTACATGTGTACGGCGGGTTGTGACCAAGGCTTTACATGCATTAAGGCTACAGCTGTCTTACGACACAAGAAACAAGACATTTCTGGGCTGACCCAAGACTGACCCCATAACCCACTCCTGGCTAGTCAGTCTGGCCTGTGCTGACCAGACAACAGCCATCTGGTCAGGAGGCTGGCATTTTTGTAGAGGCTGTGCATGGGGGTTATCAATGACCATGGCCTGATTTATCGGGACAGTCAAGCCTTCCCTGGAACTAGTAGAAGTACTGCATATCTTATGATCACTTGGTAGGATTGGGCTGAACTAACTTCTAACCTCCAATGAGTCCAAGCAAGTGTATAAATCCAGCTTATTCTCAGTGTTTTGCATATGTTTTGCAAGGATTAAAACAGTTTAAAAATCTTTCAATATTAGAAGAAAGTTATCTCCAAGCAATTCACCATTGGCACGACAGTGGGTATACAAAAAAACGATGGTGTTTTGACAGAATTTTGCTTTTCCCAATGGACAAAAATTTTCCCCAATCTATCATTTTTGACAGACAAAAATCAATGTGAAAAGGTATGGAATGAGATGTCATTGAACTAAGCTTTAATAGTCTAGCCTGGTTACCAGACCTACTACTAGTATTCTATTCTAGCTCCTGAGTCTTTATCCTCTCTGCAAATAGAGGATATAGATCCAGGAGCTAAAATAGGTCTGGTTACCTGGCTAAGCTTAGTCTACCAGCAAAAATACATGTGCAGGAAATAGCATTTTGGACGGCCAATATTTCAAACATTTTCCCAGGGGAGCATGTCCCCGGTACCCCTAGGATTGTCCTGCCTCTGGCAATGCCTCGCCTCTTGACATAATGTTACGTCAAACAAAATTGAGATGACGGAAAAATATTTCAGGTTCACCTAACACCAAAGAACAGGTGCCTGCCTAGGGCTGCTAGCTGTGGCCAGTTCACACCTCCTGAAGCCACCAGCATGGAGCAAAAACAATTTCTCCCACATTACCATCTCAATAGGATCCACCACTTCCCAGCCTCCTGTGACCATATCAAGTGTGCACCAATGACTTGACAATATCAAAATCAATTATGGGAAACCCTAGACCTTGACAAATCCCACATAGGCCTTGTCCCAATGGAGGGTGTCTGACCAGGGGGTAGTCTTGTTGTTGTCATCCCAAAAGGAAAACAGCTGTTGATTTCATTGGAGCCCAAAGCATTTGCTTGAAGCAGATTTCTTCAAGTTGATTAGAAGTGTATGTTATGTAACAACTTTGAAGTAGTTAAAGATGCTTCTGAATGCCATGTTGAGTTAAGCTACTTTTTTTTTCAAAGGAAAACAAGAAATACAGTAAGCAAGAAGGTTAACCTCCTTGCACTAAGTGATCCATCTGGCAAAAAGGCAATGTCATCACAAAATATACAGACAATGTGGTCATCACATACAATAATACTTGTAGTAGGAGAAATTCAAAGTTACGAAATTTCTAAATACGATAATTGAACTTCAAAATTGGAATTCACATATAATTCAAAATAGCAGTATGTGTAGAATTTCTACACATTGGGACCCCTGAACATAAACTTGGCACAATAAGTTGTAAAGTTAGATGTGCAAATCCTTAAATCAATATAATATTTGTACAAACAGTTATGTGAGTATTTTGTAGTTTGAAACCTTAAAAAACAGACAACTGATTCACACACAAAAAAAGGAAAAGAAAACACAACAGCCTTGACTCTCTCCTCAGTAAGCATGTGCATTGTCATGAATTGAGTCACAATGACAAGTGAAGTCAGGTGAAAATTCTAGTCCCTGTGGGGCATTTTAAGTACACTGCATAAAAATCTCTGGTATTCCAAGTCTATCTACCCACCCTGTATCACTGTAGATGTTGAAAAATAAACCTTGAATTGTCCACAAAATTGGTAGAGATAAGAGATTTTTCATTTAAAAATCTGTGAGTTGAATTCTAATCTAAGAGTTTGAGCTCTTGGTGTTTTTGAGAAAGCCTGTGCCTGAGTGCCCCAGGTCAGCCATGCCACCCCACATGGACTCGTTACAAAATAAATACTGCATGTTTAAACAAAGCACAGAAATGCAACAGGTCCTACTAGGTCGCCAACAAGAAAACCTAAACCAACACAACAAAACCAAGTCAGCGAAATCAAATCTCATGTGGTGTAGGAGGACCAATGGGTGTATTATTTTCCCTCTTTCCTGTTATTTTTTTTCTCTTTCTTGTGTACAGCTGGTTCTGAGTCCCGCCCCGATGTGGGACCCATGGATACAGACAAAAGAGAGCGGATTCGGGTAACAAAAGCCGCCCGAACACCTTGGAATAATCAGCGATTTGCGCGATAGAGGCGGTCTGCTGGGTCAAAACTGCGAACCAGAGGACGCAGAAATGTGATAAAAGTCGCCAAAAGTGTGGATTTAGAGCAGCTAAATGGAGAAATTCAGGCGAGCTGTTGTACAGATGATACCAGGCTGCAGCTCGCCCGGACAAAGCCTGGGTCGCGGTCCCCGTAAATTATAAACAAAGACCACATGGCCGTGGGAGAAATATTGGCATTTTTCCCACGGGTTCAGCTCCCCCAAATTGGCACAAATCCCACGCAATTTCATTTTTTGGCTTCCCCCTGTCTTGTGCAATGGTCTTTTCTGACGATCTAGCCGCGGTTTTGGGCCGGAGAGTGCAGTCGGTGACAGAATGTGAGATTTGAAGAAGGAGTCCCCGGGACCGTCTGGGAACTCTGACGAAAGTTGGGACGCAACAGATTTCAGCTCCAAATTTGCAACCCTCCCGCATTGCACGACAAAGAGCGTTCAAACTTTGCACTCTTTGAGCTCAGCAGGAGCTCAGACAATTTACGGAGTGTACTTTAGTGTTGAACAATAGGTCCAGGTCTGCTAGACTACTGTATCATTATTGCAAAAAGCGATACAAAAAGTCTGCACGGAGGAGCTGAGCTGCCTCTAGGGGAAGGGGCTGCTCACAGGTCATGGGGACCGAACAAAAGCGTAATCAAAAACGGTCCCAAAATCCCACCAGATCAACAAGTATTCTACCAACTACAGTATTTTCTACCAAACCGAAATGTCATTATTCTATCCTAAAAGAGCTACGACAATCTATCCACATATTTACGGTAATTTTGTGAAAAATGTCAACCAAAACAAAGTTGAACTCACTCGCAATCTGTCACAACCGGCGCCATCTTGCCTGTGGAAGCAGCTCCAACTCTCGCAATCTGCGCCAATCCGCGCGAGAGTCTACGAGAACGACCTAGAGTTCACTCCAGGTCAACAAAATTTTCCCACACTCTGGCCGCTCCCAAGTGGACCATAAATTTGGCGCGCCGTTGATACATGTGATGATAATAGCCCTGTCTGATATTCCCTAGCCTGAAATAGGCATGTTGCAACATACATGACCTATGAGAACCACTTAGAGTTCACTCTGGGTCAACGAAATTTTCCCACACGCACTCTGGACAGTGACATCAACGTATTAAAATGCATGCGCATGCACCTCCGGGCGTCTCTGAGTATTACCGTTGACGTCACTTCCAGTCAAGCGAAGGGGGGAATGGGAGATACCAAAATGCTCTGAATGAAGACTTTCGACATGCAAAATAAAAGAGATTAAAAACGAATTATTCAAGTCCAAGCCCTAGATCTTTAGGTGGCTGCAAGTCAGTATCATTTGCCGCAGTTGTCACCCGATCGAAGGTGGCGAAGAAGATATCAGGCAATACTAAAAAGAAAGGCCGACAAAACGCCTAAAACACGTCAGAAATTAGCTGAAGCTAAACCTCTGCTTGGTCGAGTAGTACGTTGTCTGTTTCTCTATAATGAATGTGATTATGCCAACCGTAGATACAACCTGTTATCACTTATTATTCATTATTTATTCATTATTTTGTGGTTGTAACATCCTGTAAAACGTCCTTGATATAATATTGAAGTCAGCACAAGGGTCATCGGAATCCAAAGGTCTAGGAGGCTCGATCTATCAAATCTCCCCGGGACTCTCAGTCCCGTTGTAGTTGCTGACTGAATAGCCGACCTGTCGGCTACGGCTGTAAACATGTGGGCAATGTACAATATTAGTAAACGTTTAATATCCGAAGTAGAAATCTACAAGTAGAAAGCTTAGCCATGGATGCCAGACCCTAGGCCACACTGGATAACTTTGAGCCTATAGCTAGTGTGCTGTGGGTCTGGCATCCAGGCTAAAAAAGCTAAGTGTATTTGACTTTTCTACGAACAAGTCACTATTGATTATTTAAGTTGGTGCTCTCTTTTTAATAATAGAAAATACACGTCCAACTGTTTATGCAAGGTCGGCATAAACAAGGAATGGCATGGCCATAGGTGTCGATCGTTGGTAATGAAGGAGCAAATCAAGTCTGGTTTATTTAGTCTTCACCACACGCAATTGGTCGGAAATGAACAATATTGTCTTCCTACTAGTTATCTGTTATTGGATACTGTATATGGTGTGCTAGGTATAACCTCGACCAATACGGTCGACCGATGATGATGAGGTCCTAGCAAAGAGGCATTGTCAAACTGGTTGGGCTGTGGTCAGTTTTGAGGACCTCTTGCGGGCAGTGACAACGATACAAGCAAGAGAAATCGCCTTTCTCATCCTCCCAGATCTAAGATGTGATATTTCTTGCTGGCTGTAAAATACGCATCGATATCATATGCACTTAGAAATTTGATATATTACTGAATGTACACCTGCTACTACAACAAATTTTATGCAACGCAACATTGATATAATTGGTTTATTGCTCATACGGCCATATCGTTAACGTTACATAGATAGATAACTTTAGTACTTTTCAGAGACCAGAAGCTACTCCAGAATGACACCTTTGAATTCCTAACCTGTAAAAGATTCGAACGGCCCACCTGGACGGCGCCTTTGAACCTCCCGCCCATGACGTCACTGCTGTCCCGCGTGATGCATTCTGGGAACACGAAACACCGCCATCTTGTTTGTTGGCGAAGACAGAAGACAAGAGAAATTTTTCACGACGTATTTGTGATCTGTTGACCGCCAATATGCCGGAAAGTAAGTGGCTCTTCGAGAATTAGAACACAAAGTTTATGTTAATGCAAATTATTGTGACTACTAAACTTTGATGCGAAATATAAAAGCTGAAAATATGCCGGGTAACGTTATATATTTTTGTTGAATTGGGGAGGGGGGCGATGCTATGTCTTGCAAAATTTATAGTTTTCCTTTAGCTAGAATTTGTACATAGGAATGCATTATGCTTGTACATGTATTTTATGTGACAAACCAAGCTGCGCAAAAACAAAACACAGTGATAATTATGCATGTAACTCACCCATTTGCGCATAGTATGTAAATTTTGTTCCATCTTGTGTTACGCCAAAAAAGTGTTATGACAAGCACAACACATCAATTATTAGGTTTTTGAAGTTTTTTTATTCTGTCCTGTTTGCCAGAGTGCCATCTTCTTTGTAAACCAAGGCTGCCATAGCATGCCCACGTTGGCATATAACACACTGTGCCTTTGCAGAAAATATGTTGAACTTTGGCAGAAACTCAGGAAAAAATAGGAAAAATTCTGATGCAACATTGACCAAATATCCAATAAAAGACCGTGACGGTTTTGCTGCCCACTTTGAATAGATGTATAAATAAATCTTGGACATAAGAACTGGTACAAATTATGTAGCGTTGAGTGTTAACAAAGATTCCATGTTCGTTGTTGTACAGGAGAAGGAGAGATGGCGTTCTCCAACCCCCTCCCTCCGGAGGCGATGGAGGATGACGGCGATCACGATCACGAGCCGGCGCTCACCAACGAGGACTTCCGTCGCCTGCTGATGACCCCTCGCGACGCGCCCAACTCCGCTCCACCCTCCTCCTCCAGTAGTGCTGCTGTCAGACAGGACAGAGAGTAAGTCTAAAACAGGCTCTTAATCTTACTCTTAGCTAAGATTTTTTTGTTGGGTGTCCATTTTTTTCATTATATGCTATGCACAGTGAAGATGCATGGTGCTTATTACTCTCAGTCACTATTTTCTGCATTTTGAGGTGCAAATTTTGAGTTTTTTCCTTCAGTAAACCATCATTTTGGTATTTATAGTAAGGCTGAAGAGAGGCAGGGGTTGGGAGTGGAAAAAATCGGGCAACTTTAGGGTGTCCTACCAAAAAGTAGGGCATCCAATTTCTTATCATTTTCAGTACAGGGAGTCCAAAAGACACCCTGGACACTCCCACCATTGCACCTATTCCCAAAAATGAATTTTGAACTCTGCACTGTAATTTGCAAAATTTCATGTGAAAAAGTGAGTTATTTTACTTCTTGAAGTTGAACCGCACAATGTTTGGTGGTTGACATATAGTTTGGATAATATTATTATGTCATTTTTGAGAATCTAATTCTTTAAAAGATTTCTCTAGAAACAACAGGCATTTATTTTATCCTTTCCATCTATGAGAAACGACTTACACTTTTTTTGTTCTCGCAGCTTGGGTGACCAGTACAATGAGGACATGGATCCTAATGAGAGACGCAGGAGAAAGAAGCGTTACTATGCCAACCTGAAGAAACAAGAGGAGGACAAACTGGCTGAACTGGCCAAGAAGTACAGGGACAGGGTAAGGAAGCGAATGAGTTGGACTTTTAGGTTTACCTTTGCAGAAGGAAAACATATTGTTTTTGCTCTGTTTCTTCTCCAAACAAATAAGGTCAATGATCTGGACCAGATGTCAGTCACCATGGTAACTGGTGCTGTAGCAGACACCTTTTTGTGTTGGGTTACATTATGTAGCAAAGTGGCAGGACGGGCTGGTTATCACAAATACATGTACAGGGTTCTCACCAGGATTTTTTCACAGCGTAGGGGTCAGGTATAGAAGGGCAACTTTCTTCGGCACGAGTCACGCACCAAGTCCCCAAAACATGGGCCTGATATTCTCCCCAAAAAATTTTGTAACTCATATTAACCACTTAAGACACTATTTATTGTTTATTGGGGGGCAGATTTTGTTTTCCCTCTGTTATAGCTTCATTCTTAAGTTATATTTTCATTTTTTTAAAGATTAATGAAGCTTCTGCCCCCATAAACCACCCCTACGCTGGTTTAAACACAGTGTAGGGGGCTAAATCACAGCGTAGGGCGTCAAAATCACAGCGTAGGGGGCCCCTACGCTCAAACAGCCTAGTGAGAACTATGCATGAATGTGTTTAAAGTAAGAATATACAGAGCATGGTAGACTATGCCTTCATACATATGCTTTGCTAATAGCTTAAAGCAGTTTTCCATTTACAGTCTCAATCATTTGTTGCATTGCTACACAATACAAATACAGTATTCCTCCCAGTTGCTATAACATAAGATGTTTATGATGATTAACTCTATTACAGGCAAAGGAGCGTAGAGAAGGCACCAACAAAGACTATGAGGAGACAGAGATGGTCAGCACCACCACTAACTACAGGGCAGTGGCTCCTAGTGCACAGCCGTAAGTACATGTTGATATATGTCACCTGTCAGAATTATCTATTATCTTAGTAGTAGACTTAACATTTATGTTATTGTCCTGTTAAATATCTATCTAACATATATCTAGTATATATAAATAATCTGGACTGTACTGTCTTCTGTTGCTCAGGGTTGACACTGCAGAGCGACGTCGTCAGTTGATCCAAGAGTCCAAGTTCTTGGGAGGTGACATGGAACATACCCATTTGGTGAAAGGGCTGGACTATGCCCTACTGCAGAAGGTCAGAAAAACACCTAGCCACACAGTTGTTACCTTCATGTACATGTATGGAGATTTTGTTTTTGGTGGAACTGCTAGTGTGTTTGCTTGTGTTTTGTTAGTCATTTGGATACATGTAGGTAGAGCAACGGGAAGTGAGGGGGAATGGTGTGACCACAGGCTGACAGGATATGGTAGAGTGACAGGAAGTGAGGGGGAGTGGTGTAACCGCAGATTGACTGGAAGATCAAATTGGAGGTCACATGGTCTCCCTACAGACTGGGAGGAAGGAAATACTACATGTATTAGAATGGTCATCTCATTTTCGGACTTCAGTTTCAAGCCTATTGCCAGTAGTAGGCCAGTATATACAGAATCATCATGAAATTTACAATACTTCATGTTGAAATCTAATGGTTATTAAAATGTCACACTAGAAAAATTCTCAAATTTCATGAAATATATCCAGGTCTGAAAATGCGTGCATTTGCCAAACACAGGTTCGCAGTGAAATCGCAACAAAGGAGCGTGAAGATGATGATCTGGACACCATCGTTCTGGAGAAGAAGAAGGAGGAGGAAGAGGAGGAGATGCAGTTCAAGACACGGATGGGTAAGAAAATCCCCCGTGTCATCAGAAATACACTGTACCTTTAGTAAAAAAAAATTGTTCCTAAAGCCCCAAAGCTGAATATGGCCTCCCAAACACTGTTGAACTGCCTCCACCATGGTTAGGAGTAGGTTGGGTGCAAGGAGGGCTGTGGTTGGCTGGTGTTCAGTGAGGTCAGCTACTATTCGGCTGTGTCAGCTGAATGTCCCCAAATGTTTAAAAACGTTCAGGAGTGGATGGGAGAGTAAGCCACCTAAGCAGTGGTCAGGGCATGGTTGGCAGTCAAATTCGACAAAAAATTTAACTCAAATTTGATTGGATTGTATCACAAGATCCACCCATGTTTCCCTATGTGCAGCCCGCAGTGTGTACCGTACCCTGTTCAAGATTAAACCCCCTGAGCGGAATGAGCTGTTCCTGCCGGGGCGGATGGCGTACGTGATAGATCTGGAGGATGAGTACACGGACACAGACGTGCCCACAACGCTCATCAGGAGCAAGGCAGACTGTCCCAGTCTGGAGGTAAGCTTCACACTGGTTAATAGTTTCAACTTTATCTGTAGGGAACAGAATCTTCACAACGATGAAGCGGGTTGTCTTAGAAAGAAAAAGAAATTTCATAGACAACTTGACAAAGTAGGGGTCGAAATACGACCTTTAGTGCAGAGTAGTGCAGGTATTGGAACTGTGCAGGTATTTCTGATGTCTACCTGCACCTAAACTGCACTGGTCCATGTACTGGGCTTATGTATTTATACCTATGTAGCTGTATATGGATTTTTTTTGCTGTATGACTGTTGCCACCTAATATAAAAGAAAACATGGCAATGGTTTCTGAACAGTTTCAGTATGATCCATATTTCCTAAATTCTGAGCATTGCAGGCAAAATTTGTCTGGTGCAGGAATTGTGATTTTCAATGTTGCCTGCACCAGTCATACTAGTCCAATGTTACCTGCACCAGTGCAGATATGGAGAAGAAAGTATTTTGAGCCCTGTATGTACCATTAGAGTTAATGATGACTGTCAGTAGATACATCATGTAGTACTCGTAATCTTTTGACACATGAAAACCAAACCAGCATGTACATGTTATTGTATTACTGTACAGTCATGTATGTGATGATTGTTTTGTTGTTTTCCAGTCCCAGACAACCCTGACAACTAATGACATTGTGATCAACAAGCTGACCCAGATCCTGTCCTACCTCAGACAGGGTGTCAGGGGCAAGAAACTCAAGAAGAAGGACAAAGGTAATGAAGAAGAGATTTCAAGCCTCCAAAGTATATAATGCACAATGTTCACAACAACTGCTGACAATTTCAAACATCACATTAACAACAATTTTACCAGTAATGCTACATAACTTTAAAAGATGGGTAATGTAACAATTATAACATACAACTAGAATTCCGAGATCTCATACCTCCATGAAATATGATCTTGATATGTAAATGTAAATTTCTTCTTTAATTGTTCAAATGACCTCTGCATTAACACGATATATGCATCATGATGTATGTTAACTTTTGATTAACTTACAGATGTCCCAAGTATGACATTCTCATCATTCACCATTACGAAATCATAGAATTTTCACATTAATTATGCAAATTAGGTCATCATTTGCATAATTAGTATCTGTTGAACTTCCGCCTGCCATAGGTTACATAGTATAATGTAAAACACAGTATTATAGAATTTCCTCATTAATTATGCAAATAAAGTCCTCATTTGCATAAGTTGCATTTAATTATGTACATCTCTCTCTCAGCTACCTACACACCAAAAATAATGAAAATATGTTGTTCCTGTCTGGACTTATTGGCTTTTAAACATTTCGCCAGAAAGTGCCCTGCAGTTCCAGAACAAGCCGCTAGGGGGCCCAAACTCATATGACTTCTTCCCAAGCACGAGAGCTACCTTCCATCAAAATTTCATGACCCTAGCATGTCCAGATCGCGAGATATCAAAACCGGAAGTTGCACTGCAGTACCAAGGGAAGCCACTAGGGGGACCAAAATCTCATCATTTCCAGTTTTTGTCACACCCTACCAACACACCAAGTATGAAACCAATCCATCCAGGCGTTCTTGAGTTATCTTGTTGACCAACAGACAGACGGACGGACGGAAGGACGGACGGACAGATAAACGCAACTGAAAATATAACCTCCATGACACATTTCATGGAGGTAATAAAGTCTCAACACCCCCACCCTGGCCATAAAAGTATTGTGATGTAGCCCACTAGTTACACACAGTGGACAAGAGTTTTTGATAGACCATACTACACCACATTGGGATGTCGAAATTTCTTTTATTTCAATACCTGAAAATACAGAAACAAACTTTGCATTATTTGGGCCCTAATTGGAAGAGTAGCTCTTCAGTGAGCTGGTTTATTACCATAGACTCAGTGTGTTGTGTTTTATTCCTCAGGTAAGGGACGAGAGGAGAAGCCCCACAGACTGCCAGGTGGAGATGATATCTTCGGCGACGTGGGAGACTACATCCCTCAGGTCCACAAGTCTAAAGACAGGCACTCACACAGCCACTCACACGAGAAGAAAAGGTCCAGCTACTTCGAGAAGCCTAGGACTGAGGATGAGGTAAGAAAGCTTATAAGTCTACTCCTTAAGTTATGCTGTGACATTGATTTTCAAGCAGGCTCTAGCCAATGTCAATCTTTCCATGCTTTGATCAAACTTTGCTGCTATCAATTTTGACGGACAAAAATCCGAGTTGAAAAAGATGGGAAGAAATGTCATTGCACTAAGCTTAGTCTACCAGACTATAAAATATATAATACATGTATTGGAGTTTTCTTTTTACACAATCTCTCACTTAGCTTACGTTTTGATGCCTTGATGATCAGAGATCTTCGTCAGAGCTTTTAACTGGAGTTGATGCTTTTCACTGCTATAACTATAAGCACTTTTGTGGCTACTTATACTTTGGTGGGATATTTGCACAATATGTTGATAAAAATGTACATCATACTTTTCTATTTCTGTACTCAGCCTTCTCTCATGGATGTCAACAAGCCACCGTCCTCAGCCAAGGAACTGGTCAAGAATATCAACGAGAAGTTCAGGGATAAGGTAAGGAACTCCTTAGTTTCTCAAGTTACATTCTTGAAGATAGGTAGCACAACCCCACTGCACAGTTGCAACAATAAAAAAAGTAGACATGAAATAGCACACAACAGTTCTTTGACAGTCACTGTGCTGAAAAGCCATTTAAGTTGAAAGGTAAAGGCAAGGTCTTACTAAAAACCGTAACTGGAATTTGTTTTTGTTTTAGGTGAATGTTACTGTATAATACACATACTTTTCAGACAATGTGACTGATTTCCTAAGGTTAATAATTAAATATCAAATTATGAATAGATTAATTTCTAGTAGATTTTAGTTTGTAATCAGCAAAAGCAATTACACTATCCAATTAAAATATTAATAAGAATCGTAGAATTACATGAATAATACTGTTTACATATTGCATATTTACTGTTTTCCCCCAGGCTGATAAAATGGACTGGAGTGAGTCCATGGTCCATGCTGAACAGGAGCATCAGAAGAGGGAACGGTCAGTTGACATAACACATAACACACCAGCTTTGCTGAGCACATCAGCAGAACGTACTGCGCCTGCGCAAAAACCCCATTTTTTCACCGTTTTCCTTGGGCTTGTGATCAATTTTGCATCAGAATTTTGCCTGTTGCAGACAATATTTTTTACGCCATAACATTTGGAAACTACAGAAGGAGTGTTGACCTTATATGTGCGAATACTACCTCATATGAGACGTTCTGCCAAAGTGCTATGCAGAATACATTACAGGTTTTGCGCAGGTGCAGTACGTTCTGCCGACGTGCTGCTTTGCTAGCACGTGGCGCAACAGCAGCTGGCTATACTATACACTATAAGACCTGTTACACCTAGCCTTTGCACATATAACTGTAACTGTCAACATTGTTTAAATCTATGTGATGATGCCCCTTCTATACTTGGTGACAGCTGGTCCCGCTTTACGATATTAGTTCTAAGAAAAATACTAGTTTTTGACCCCCTCAATCCTTGGTGATAACTAGGGTACTTGTACTTCTCAGCATGAGTATTTCTTCCTCTAAACTTCTGAGAATTACACTTGTTTTAAGGCATCTAATGTTTTTGTATATTTCTTTACAGTAAGAAGAAGATGGACATGGCCTTCCAGCCTGACAGCTATGCTGAGTGTTATCCAGGGTGAGTTATGCAAAATAAACATATTATCCTATAGGGTAGACATTCTTCCATAGGATAATTTTTAGCATCAAAAGCTAATTAGACAATATATTTTATGTTGGGAATACAGAATTTAATACTGAACATAGATACAGTCTAGTGGCTGATGCAATGAGCCCTGGGGATATAGTGTTAGCCTTACATCCAGAATTTTGGGATTTTAAACCTTGGCCAGGTTTTACCAAAGACTTATAATCATACATACTGTGTATTTAGCGATTGGAAGAAAAAAGAATGGGAGTTGAATACACTGCACTATCAGTAGACTAGCTTCCTGCTGTATTGGCCTGTGTGGCTCAAAGGCTATAAAAACAGAGATTTATATAAAGGAGTGTGAAGTATTTTAAGGCATCTGATCCATTCAGTTTGCTTGATACATAACAACGCAATAACAATTTACTATGTCCTGCACACCCCTACACACAGAATGGGAGAGATCCTGGGTGGGGATGACAGTGATGATGAAGTGGACTATACCAAGATGGACCAGGGGAACAAAAAGGGGCCCATCGGACGCTGGGACTTCGACACCCAGGAGGAATATAGCGAGTACATGAGCAACAAGGAGGCACTGCCAAAGTAGGTGTCATCTAGTCTTTACTCTACATGTATCTCAAGGATTTTTTCCTGAACTTTAAAACAGTCAAACCAGTACAACAGTCAAACCAGTACAAAAGACCACTGTTTGGTAATCCCATAGGTAATTTTTCCCATTCGTTGATATATGAATAAAGAATTAAAGGACTGGAATTATCATGAAAGTTCATATGTGCTGGTTGTTACATGTTTAAAGCTAAAACTTTTAGTACCAGATGCCTTTGACCCAGTGTTGACGTCACACTTTGGAGAAGCCATGTGACAAGCCTCGCTGAGTCAGTCTACTGGAAAAGACAAGTAAAAGTGACTGGTGGAAAGCTCTAGATGAGAACATTTAGATTTACCATTTTGTGTTGGAACAAAGTTTTACCTTTAAACAACAAATGGAATTGAATTGTTCCACAGGGCGGCATTCCAGTATGGCATCAAGATGGCGGATGGACGGAAGACGAGAAGAGCGGGTCCCAAGGACGAGATGAAAGAACTCGATCGCGAGTGGAAGAAAATCCAAAACGTAAGTTTCCATCAGCTTCAGATCTCTGTTTGTGATCTTTAGCTGTTATTTATTTAATAATGCAATTTTGCAGACTGAAAAAACCTGGCCAGTAGGGGTTCGATGGTGTTTACTACTGACTCTATAATATACAACTGATTTTTGCATGTATTTTTTTCAAATGACAGTAAAATGTTTGCCAACATGCAGTTTTGTATATGCCATGGGTTTGGATCTGGACTTTTAGTGTGTATTTGCAGAAAGTATTTCTTAATTGCAGAACAACATTTTGACATTCTGCAATGTTGCAGATCACTGAAAAAAAAGGGATTTCTACCACTGGTACCATGCACTGAAATCGATATCCATAATTTTCTGTGATAGTCGTTGTAAATTGCTAGCTTTAACAAGAGCTAGAGTTTTGAGTTTAAAACATGCATGCCACCTTGTTAGGTTAAGCAAGGTCGACATAGCTTAAGGCTAGATTAGGTGGGGTGGTCTGAGTTATTCTTTTGTATTGATTTAAAGACCAGAAGGTCAAGGATCGAGAACTCTCTTCTTTTGCATTTTAGCAACAAAGTTCTGTTACAGATGAGTACTTCGTCCCTAGTGGCAGAGTTTTCATGAACTACATTAAAACATGCATTTTGCTGTCAGGAACAATGAGTATCTGCCCTTTGACTGTAAAGCATACACACATATGTCCTTGAGTTGTTTTAAAAGCAGTCACTCTTGAGTTCCAATGCAGCTCAGGGACATACATGTATGCTCTCAGGGCTCGTAATACCACCTGCATGTGCAGGTTAGTGCAGGTAAAATTGGATCTGTGCAGGTATTTCCGAAGTCTACCTGCACCTAATTATAACCTGCACTGGTCCATGTACTGCGTTAATGTGTACATTGTTGGTGTATGTGGACTTTTATTTTCTGCATTGACAGAACAGATAAGGATCCATACTTCCAAAATTTTGAGTGTTGCAGGTAAAATTTGTCTGGTGCAGGTAATTTTCAATGTTAGCTGCACCGGTGCAAGTATGCAGAAAAAAAACGGATTCCAAGCCCTGGCTTCTATAGTTTGAAGTTGGCATGAAAATGGCATGAAAAATTATTTTTGGGTATATTTGATCTATCAAACTTCAAAGAAACAACTGTCCTGTAGGTCTCTCTTAGGTTCTAGCTTGACACGTGCCTGACATGCATGTATGTGTGTGATAATGACATTTGTTAATGGGCGGCACACCCAGTACAAAAAAGGGTGCAGTCGTCCTGCTGGAAATGATTATGGGATGTAGCCTGAGGAAAGAATGGCCAGGTCTGGCCTTTGTTTTGTTGTCTGAAACCTCACCACAGGCCAACTGTATATAGATGATTAGACAATTTTGCAGACAAACCTGTCTCTGTCTGTGGTGCGAGCTTTTTGAATGATGCAGGGAAACGAAGTTGAATATTGATAGAAAGGTGAACGAACTCTCTGTGTTTAAACGATTTTCCAGCTAATTAAACAGAATGGTCTATCTGTGTGGCGAAATGGTACAAAACCTGCCATCCGTATTATGTAATCAGTAGCTACGGCTCACTCAGCACTCAGCAGTTAAAATTGTAGGTATGAATTTTGTCAACCTGTTGCAGCTAGTTTTTGTAAGGTCCATATTTGGTATGGAAAGCAAGAGCCAATAGGCATGCAGCATTCTATAGGCAATGGCCTGATTGGCCAATTTGCAGATGGTGGTTCTTCTTGCTGATTGGCTGTTGAGATGATTGGATGAACTGCCTTAGAACACCTGCACCATTTTTTTTTAAGTTAAACATTCCAGATTTTAAGACGTGCCTGTTTTGTTTTACAGATCATAGAAAAGAGGAAGACAAAATCTGGAGGAGGAGCATCATCATCATCAGCTTCCCGGGATGAGTAAGTTGATAAATATGGAGAAAAACTTGCATTTTCTATCTTAGAATTGCTACAGTGAGCATAGAACAGAGGTAGCTACAGTGCAATGAAAATTTCATCTTAGCACCTTATGTACATATATAACTTTATTTTATCATCAAACTGAACAGCTTTTCTGGTTTCCACATTTTTGTTACATGTTGTATATATCTCTCATACATTCTGCCCTTCATATCAACTTGAATTTTCAACATCAAAACACATACAGATCCTGAATTCAGTCCTTAAATGATTTGGTTGTGGTCTGCAACACAGCATGTGGTTGATGTACCACATCAGCAGTTCGTAATGTGCCTGGGAAAAAGCTGGATTTTTCACGGTTTTCGTTGATATTTGGTCAACACGCAACATTTGAAAACTATAGACAGAATGTCATCCTTGAATATATGAATATGAGTTTAAATTACAGGTTCTTCTGTTATGCACATGCTGGTTGAAGCCCACATGCTGGTTGAAGTAGTAGTAGTAGAAGCAGCCTAGAACTTTAAATAACATAGATTGTTTCTCTCTTTCAGGGAACCAGACTACAAAAGACCTCGATACTGAAGTTTAAGTAAAGCAGTCAACATCAGTATCTTGTATCATGTTAAGTACATGTACATTAGTTGCCTGTCTGAAAACAACAACACTAACTATTGAATCCAGAGAAAGATAGTCACTACAGACATTGAATATGCTGTAGTTAGACTATGATAAAGCCTAGCAAGGCTAGTAAGTCAAACAGAGCTTACATCTGTACAGTATGTACATTTTAGTCCTTAGTAATGTTCATTCTTGTTGGCACTTGTTTTCCACTATCACTGCCTTTGCGCTAATTCAAAAACATACCACAACGATTGTGGTATGCCAAAAAGCAGTTACTCAAGCAATTGGATATGGCGTATCATATTACCTGAATGTCTAACCCTCATCTACAGATTGTGGTATGACACAACTACTACAAGATAAAGTTTTGTGAATGACTGATCAAATACCTGTTGCTTTAACACCATAAGTTTCAGTTACAGTAACATACTAAGTTAATATGTTGTTCAGTTTCACCCATTGAACCAGATTCCTGCATACTTCAATCACAATGAAGATGCCACAAGTCTAGTGTAACAGTGTCTTATAGTGTGATAATAGCTCAATGTAAAACTTCACTTCTTGGCAAGTGGACAGTTACTGCCTGCAGCAATTGTACTGTTAGATATACCAGTTGTAATAGACTTACATCTCTCATACGTTATGATTTCTGCAGACTCAAGTGAAGTGTTGTTTTTTCTAAGGTAAATGGTTACAGGTGTATTCTGTAATTGCTTCTCTGTTAAAAGCAGCAGCTATATACACCATGTAGATATTTATTGGACCATACCTTCAGGTTAGATGAATCTGTTAAGGTATTTGTCATGCAGCCTTTTTGCAATGCCTCAATGAACAATCAATTATGGAGCAGTCCACCCAATCCTTATACATCCTTCACAGCCAAACAGTAAATGGCGAATGTCCATATCACTCTAGATGCAAAATTGATTTAAGCTGAAGTGGGCATGCTGGTGCAACAATAGTGCTGCACTGGACATCCATATATTGTTATTGCCCTACTTTCTTATATTGTCAATCCATACCCACTTGGGCTACAGTGCTTGTTACATGATCCCAATATGTCCACATACACAACACGTCTTCTGGGATATCATGATTTTTAGCAACTGCTGGATGTTATGTGCTGTATGTTTTAAGATATTTGACAATCAATGGTTGGTCTCCGATCAGCAATTTGAGTGACTGATCGAAATTAGCCTACCACCATATACGGACGGTGCGTTCTGAAGGCGCTCAGTAAGCCTCTTCTACGCCGCATGTAGCCCAGGCTTTAGAAGTGACTGGAAAGAGTAGAAATTGACCAAAAATTGACAGATAACGTGCCAAGGGAGTTGGTCCGCTGATAAAGTGCACTTTGCCTCTCCCGAAGCTAACTCCCCTGGCTTACGTGCATCTCTCTGGTCAATTTCTACTCATTCCAAAGTTTCCAAAGATTGATAGAGGCTACAGTGCATGTAGATAAATTCATGGGAGCCCGATGCACCTTGTGCTACTAAGGCTCACTCTTAGCGTTACATGCTTTGTAGGATGTTGTAGGTGCTCGGGGATCTAGATAACTTTAGTGAGTATGAGAATGCTGATGATCGCACCAACAAAGATGAAAATCCACATGAAAATACGATCGATCACTTTAGCAACCTTAGCCCAGTCTCCCTGTATCTCCCGTTCCTGGGCTCGTTCGTGTATGTACGTGGCTACACGGTCTACGTTCTTAGCGATTCCAGTGAGTTCGGATTTGTTGAGTGCAGTACTAGCGTCAGCCGCCAGGTTTCTCGCCCGGAGGACGTCGTCGGTGAGGAACGAGGCCTTGCAGGTGTCGAAGCCCGTGAAGCTGAGACGGGGGAGGTTCCGCGCCAGGGCGGGGGCGACCACCCCGTTCGACATGCCGTGTCCCTTCTGGTTGCGGAGCTCGCACTCGTCCATGACGGTGTGGACGGTGTCCTCGGCGGGGTCGACCGGCGTGTCGCTGGTGCCGCTCGGGCTGACGCTGCCCTTCCGCCCGCCGGCCTCCCCCACCAGGATCGGCGCAATGGCGTCCAGGAAGAGGCGGCGGACCCAGCGCGGGACCGGGCGGCGGTCAGGCCCGCAGTGGTGGACGTTCATCACGAAGATGGTCATAGCAGTGGACAGGGACATCAGCGTCATGGTCACGATGTAGTATTTACCTGTAGAAGACACAGAAAAAGAAAGAAAAGTATGAAGCAAAATCCTCGTATGTAGCAACGTTTTGCATTGCATTGGGACAAGCTTGAATTAAAATCGGTGTACGTCCAGGAAAATTATGGTGATGTTAAGTTGATTATATGGATGACATCCGCGCACTCATGAATTGTTTGTTCCAAAAAAGTTTTCGACAATACGTACTGTAAATCGTACAAAGCAGCAGCAAATCTTTTTTGGCAACCTTTTTTTGCGCACGCTCGCATCAGTTTTGGCGTTCCCAGATGATGTCATCCATATAATGAAATCAGCATGGTCTTACATGTTTTTCTTACTTTACACAAACTACATTTGAATCTACAGTCACGTATACGTAATGCTGAAAGCTTAAAGCCTTGAACGCCTGATAGCATCGCCTACCCACCATGTACGTAAATTACAATTTCTGTTCCCAGACTCCTCCAGGGTAAAGGCCGCCGTTTGTTAATCACATAGATTATTCTAATTGGCGCTACGCCGTCCCTGTGTCAGAAGAGCGGGTCCCGTGGGGGTTTCACGGTTTGATAAATGGAAAGTGTCGCACTAACACCGAGAGATCGCGAACCCTATCCTTCATTCAATACATGGGGCAATTCCCACAAGGAATGCCGACAAGTTCCTTGCTGAGCTGGGATTGAATTTTTAACTCCCCCTCCTCTAGCACAAAACGGGATCTAAAGACTGTATTAAAGGTATCCAATGCAATTTCAGGGCGGCAACACAAAAAATATTCGGGATGAGGAAAATCTGTCTGATATTGACATTTACTGCTATTCATGCATTAAGCACGTTTTGTCGTCATTTCAAACTCGGTTTTAAATAGCCCAAAAGGGAGCTGTATGAGCCTTTAAATTTATTTTGGTACCACCAATAAATAGCTAGAACCAGTCTAGGATACATGCAACCGTTTTCCGTCATTGCATTTTGCCCCTGATATCAGTATGCTATGGGGCAGGATTGACTTACTAGTACTTACTAGTACTTCAACTTACTAGTACTCCATGATCAGATGTGTGATGACGATGTGTGACTCAAATAATTGGTCACCGTTGTGACTTGAATTTTACTGATGCTTTTAAGACCGGGCTTAGATGCACAGTTGTAATGTATCAGGCCCCCGACAAAAATAAAATGATTGATTTAACCTGACCTTCGTTATATCGGCATGGCCAGGAAAGAACTGCTGATGCCAATATGAAAAGTTGTAACCACGGGGCATGTGTGGACTCATCAGTCACACATTAACGGAGTAATAGGGACGTGGTGTTATCACTGCTGGTGTGATACAGGGCCTGGTGTGCTCATCTGTTTTACACTGTCTAGTGTCATCTGTCTTTACACTGTCTAGTGTCATCTGTCTTACACTGTCTAGTGTCTGCGCAAAGTCAGCCAACTGCGAGGAGCTAGTCTTATCATAACAGATTAAGTGTATTACAAATACATGCCCGAGGGCTAATTGCAAGTACAAACGTAAACTTGAAAGGTAACAGTTGCAAAGCAAATGTATAATGTTTACCTTCGCATATTGTCTACTCTGTTAATTCTTACTCAAAACGCATTCATATATATGGTGACAGGAGTCTAAATCCCTCCTGCTATAAAATTGCAACATGATGTAACCCAACACTAGTTACCATGACAGACAGTCTGGTTCAGGTCATTGACCTTTTTGGTTTGGAGAAGAAGAAGAAACGTAGCAATAACAATATGTTTCCCTTCGGTTAACATAAATATATGCCTGAGAGCGAATTGCAAATACAAACGTAAACAAACATGTACTGTACGAAAAAATAATACAATGATATAATAGACTACGTGTAACGTTATGATATATTCTACAACTAGTTTTGCTGGGTTTGACTTGTTGTTTTGGTATGTGGGGTGTTTGATTTTAGTAGTAGAATTATTTTCTCATGGTAAGGAAGAGTGGGGAAGTAAGGGTGTATTTTGGACATTTTAACAATATGTTGGTAATGAAAGTAATTGGTTTCTTATTAGCCAGCGAAATCAGCGTAGGGTATACATGTGGTCCAGAATACAAGGCGGTATCGCCTTCCGTGTTTTTTTTTTTTAATTCAAAATTTGAAGAGTTTGGAACACTGTTACATGGAAAATTTGCAGCATCACGCTTGTTTAAATTTCCTTTTCCGTGCATCTGCGGCAGAGATGTAGTCCCGTACATGAACAGATTAATGACAGAACATTGCGGAGTTGTTGTACTACAATTAGTCTACTGAAGGGTCATTCATCATCGTCTCCGCGGAGATACACTTATCAGGGTGGTCTCTCGGGCATTTCGCACGACCCGTTGATTGAGTACCGTCTGCTTTTACTAGTTCAGCACCAAGGACAAGAGCCATCCATTCTTCTCCAACTATTAACCACATTGTTTAACTTTTGACATGGTTCTTGCCTAGATATGCACCATTATGAATGGAATAAGTCATCTTAATTTTTATAACATTAACCACGGCATGTTGATCTGTGTATAGTTTTATTGGGAAATCACTTCTTAAAAAAAGTTTTTTGTACACAACTAATGTCTAGTCAGTATGTACCGTCTGTTACCTTCCACCCCGCCATACTGACTGGTTCTATTTCGCACTGCAACTAGGTGTCGCTGCCGCACGGTAAAGACTGTAGTCCCAACGTGACTGAGTTTGCATCCCCCCCCCCATCGATTTATGACGAGTAGATTTTCTTATCTATAAAGCCTCCTTAATCCAAGGCCAACTACTGTATACTAGTATTTGGTGCAAGCGGCAAAATCTAACGCTGCTTCACTGCATGAAATCCTATCTTTAAGCATATTTAAGATATGCGTAAAGATTCACGCGATTGGAGATGCATTAAAATATACGTATAAACAAAGGATTCTATGCAGTACTGGATGTACGTACAGTATTTACCTTATAGAATGACAGAGAAACGTTCGTTCAGTGGAGAATTTAGCAAGTATAAACACTGTAGCCTGGGTGACAGACTGTTGCCAGGGCCAGTATGCAGCCTAGCTCCCCGGCTCTAGGGTCAACTGGTCTCCATAGAAATTTTACCACAGACCCCCTAAGTTAAACTGGGGTCTGGTCTGTGTATTGGCCCTGGGACCGGTCTGGTATCCAGGTTATACATACCTATAAGGGGGATGTTCTCTGACGGCGGCATGGACTCGGCCACCAGCAGCTGGAACACGGTGAGCGCCAGCAGGACGGTCACCCCCAGGGACACCTTCTCCCCGGAGTTAGCCGGCAGGTAGAAGCTGAAGGGCGCCAGGAGGGAGATCAGCACGCACGGGACGATCAGGTTTATGATGTAGAACAGCGACTTCCTCTGTGGGTCAATAGGAATGTGGAGGAAAATCTTAATTATCAATTATGTAGCTATTTAAAAAGTGAATAACTAGAGAAGAAACATTTGTAAAGTTGCAAATAATGTTTACCCTTTTCATTTCATTTCATTTATTGGTGATGCCAACAACGGTTTAGCTCATCAAATTGCTGCTCTGAATGTTTTTACTCAAACACATTCATGGATCATATACAGTGAGACTTGTCACTAGTTCCTGAGAGGGGTAACAGAGGCTATTTATGTCAGGGCTAATCACTCAACCGCGACGGGGGCCGACATCGTTTACCAGATACCTTTGACCCAGTATTGACGTCACACTTCAGAGAAGCCACGTGACAAGTCTCACTGGGTCAGTCTATTGAAGAACACCAAAGTAACAGATAAAAATCCTCTATGTGAGAATAATTCTTTGTGTTGGAACAAAAATTTTAACTTAATAAAACACGAATTGTGACCTCACCTGCAGCTTGAGGCTGTACGTTACATCCGGAAAGGGATCCGGACAGCAGCCGTAGAAGACAAGATTCCGGAATGCCGGCATGCCCAGCACGTCCCACTCCACGTTAGGGATGTAGTCCTGCAGGTCACCCTCCTCCGACTCAGCCACTACTTCCAGCTGCTTTCTGCAGTCATCAACAAGAATTCTGAGATTCCAAACCTCTGAGAAGTATAATCTGTATCTGTATCTGCATGTATAGCCGGTATAACTGCCTTTCGGTGTCACCAGCTTCGCAGGCACGCGGCGCGGCGGCAGCCGGCTATATTACACCGATCGACTTGAACTTCTAGCTCTAGACTTTGTTTAAAGCTATCTATTGACAATGCCCCTTCTGTACTTGGTGACAGTGAGTTCCACTCTGCAATAGTTCTAGGAAAGAATAAATTCTTGAACACCTCAATCCTTGGTTGATAACTCTGGTACTTGAAGGCATGGCTATTTCTTGTTCTCTTCTGGCCTTGTATTAGGTACTTAGAATAATGCATCGCGAAAGTAGTGTGGTATAGCCTGGTGGACAACAGCTGTTGATAGACAATACGGCATCATATAAAGCACAGGGCTGTTGATTTATTTCATTTCAATACCTGAAAATACAGATATAAAGGAAAACAAATCGAAAATACCCAAATACCAAATCATATACCGAGAATAAAAATTAAAAAAAATCTGCCAATCCCACCGTGACTTACAGCTGCTAACACGACCGAAAACAGTACTTCAAAAACATTGTCCTTCCCCGGAGGTAAAAACACTGTACAAAAAGTGTATTATGATGTTATTCTTGTATAGATTGTTGCATTTGGTGATGACAAATGGTAGTAAGTACGCCATACCGCACAGGGAAACATATTCACACCAGTCTTTCCGGAAATAGAGTTAAAGCTTAACAGCTTTCATAACTCATAAGGCTCATGCGGGTTTCAGAAACATGATGAAGAATGCCTCTCCTTTTGTGCTGTCTTTATTATTATTCATACTTATTATGTTTTTTTATAGACGCCCCGCTGTTAAAAACAACGTTGATTTTCTTTGATAATGTCGTTATGTACGGCGCGTGGTAATTCGGCAATTAGGTAGAAACAGTCATTGTGTTTCCAACACAGTTTGAAAACCAGCAGGATAGCATAAGTGGAAACCGAAAACAACGTTTATATTTAAAGTTGTGGCTCACGTCATGAGTTTTTTAAAGGGACATTGAGTAACATTTTGCACCAAAAATTGAAATATTTTGATTGGAATAAAATCACGTGGTTAACATTTACTTCCACTTTCCAACGTATTTATGCTATTATCTCATATTTTTGACATTTATGGTTGGCAATAAAACAGCTCACATGAGACACATTTATTTTGTGGCACCACCACAAAATACCAGAATGTAAACAAACATGGCTGACAGTGGTGTTTCCAGCTTTTAAACACACTCATATGGTGTAATATTTTGACACTCATTTGCAATGGAGCAGGTTTGAATCAACTTGCGATTTAAAGAAATGATAAAACTTGCCCAGGCGACAACCTCTATAAATAAGCTGGCCTAAAACTAAGTGTTGTATTAGTCTTACCTAAGCACATCATAAAAATATTGTACTGCACTCAAAGGACATATACAGCATTTTGGGAAGGTCATGTCAGTTTATTAAAATATCAATCAAATGAAACAATGACGAGCCTAGCGATATGAGTTGTAGATAATTGCAGTACTATCGTGCTTAGTCAGTGAAGCGTGGACTCTGATTTATACAAGGACGCGTGGTCGCGCCGAGCCCCGGGGAATAACGTGTCATCTACGCTGTTAAACCGCGTAAAACACATCGGTAGCACGCGTCGGCAGAACGTACTGCGCCGCTGGGCGAAACCCGTAATGTATTGTTCATAGCACCTCTGCAGAACGTCTCGTTTAAGGTTGTATTCGCGTATCAAATATAGCATCCCATATATGTTTCCGAAAATTATCGTCTGCAGAATTCTGATGCAAGGTTGACTAAACGTCCAACGAAAAACCTTGAAAAATCCGGGGGTGCAAAACGTTCTGCCGATACGTTCTGTCTGTTTGGACACCGATGAAGGCACTAATGATTTACTAACATTGAGTGTTAATGGTTCAGCACCAAGGACAGAACATCCTTTCTATTCCAATAAAACTTACTGTTGTTAACAAAGACGTTCAGCACCAAGGACAGGATTTTCCTGCAAAACTGATTTTTGATGACGTTGATAAACCAGTCTTTTTTTAATGAATTTTTTTGAAAAATACTTGGATACCTCTGCCACCATACAAGGGGCATTAACAGTTCCTATGGTATTGCCGTACCATAGGAACTATCCTATCCTAACTAGTTTAACACTAACAGTGACACTTGCGAGTTTTTGTCATGTTCAAATGATTTTTCCGATTCCTTCACTTGATTAGCGTCAACTTGTGCCCTCAGTTCATTTATTGACGCTGAATTTCACTCGTCCGGAAGCTATCACCATTTCGAAGGAAAACATATTGTTTTTGCTCACTTTCCTCTTCTCCAAACACATAAGGTCAATGACCTGAACCAGACGTCTGTCACCATGGTAACTAGTGTTGGCTTACATCATGTTACAATTTTATATCAGGAGGGATTTAGACTCCAGTCACCATACATATGAATGTGTTTGAGTAAAAATTAACAGACCAGACCATATGCGAAGGTAAACATTATGCATTTGCTCTACAAATGTTACCTTTCTAGTTTATCCAGTAGAGTTTGAATTGTCTTTGAATAACCCCCCTCTATGTATCCGCGTCTATGTATCACCAGGTAATCTGTGGTTTAACCAATCGATTTGCCATCCTATGCTTAACGTTCATCCAAACGCTACATGCTGTAATGTGACGGAGTCAGTCAACCCATCTCTCGATCCGTTGACCTAGTGGAATTTACCAGCAGGTCAAAAGGTGCCGAATAAAGCCTAAAACACAATTTACAGGCAGACAAAAACCGCAACGTATTCATGAAGTTTCTGAGAAGAAAGTAATGAAATTCCTCGAGGTTAAGTAAGCTCAGCGATAGCTGATAAAGGGTAGGCATCCAGGTAAACGATACTCATAGACAAGTCAGTGACCTTGTCAAGTTTAACCGGCTTTCCCGTTGCTTTTACATAAGCTTAAGTGTTGACTAGGTCTCTTAGTATGTTCTGGTGAAGCTGAAGAGTTATGTATGTCACTAGAAACTTCTAGAAGTAATCTCCGTATTCTATCTAGTAGTAGTTTGTCGACGAGTAAGCTGAAATGAATGAATAAATGAATGAATGAATGAATGAATGAATGAACGAACGAACGAACGAACGAACGAACGAATGAACGAATGAACGAACGAGTGAACGAGTGAACGAATGAACGAATGAATGAATCTTTATTACTAGTATTCAACCGGCAGACATACATTTTGTGTCAACCTGAATTTTGTCCATGTACCAAGCATAGCTCCGTAGATTTTAAAATTTACATACAAGATCATAAATGCATCGTCATTTATTAACATCAAAATCCACTTGATCATAAAACATGTTTCAGTTTAGAGAACTTTTTAGAGGTATGTTTTTCCCTTTAGTTATTTTAGGTATTTTCCGGGTAAGATAGAAATGAGCTGCGGAATCTGAGACCTCGTGTTTGTCGCAATTCAGCGTCACAGCAGTGGATGTCACCTCGACCTCGTAATCTAATATAAATGCTAATAATTGGATACCAATTTCACAGAAATCACCAGGACTGCCTCGTTATCCATTGAAGATATGCATTGCTGTAAACACCGTGGGTGTATGAGCTATATTTGGAATGATTACAGACACCTTCAGGATGTGAAGGCGACAGTCTTTGTATCCAAGACGTCGAAGCGAGATCAGGCATCAGTGACAATGTTGATCTCCTAAGCTAGCGCGCACGACATGAAGCACCGAGTTAACGCAAAACAGCGTGAAAATAGCCGCAAGTCTATTTGACACTGATCCTGAGTTAGATGGAAGGCTTTCGGTTGTCTATGATACGTTTTTGAAACATCCTGATGTATATATTTGATGCATGCAAAGTTTGGTCCTCCTGCTCTAGTGCACTTCTATACTAGTTAACGCTACGTGGTTTGATTCAGATATTTAGCTTAGAGCACGCTCTGAAATTAAAGTGTAACGTTGTCGCTGTATCGGCACAATTAATTTCTAGTGATTTGCTCTTATGAACTGGAATATGTGGCCAGTAAATGACACGGTGAGTCTAGTAGATGAATTCTACAATTCATACTTCGAATTCACCTCGAAAGTTTTGAGCATGCTCAAGCCATTCAGACCGGCAACAAGAATGTGTACAAAGATGTGGAATACAACTAGTGAGAATTTCTAAAATGCACTTCAAATATCCAGGAATATTATAAAGGGTTTTCATTTAGACGGCATTCCGGTTCATCCCGCCTCTCGTGTGAAGTGGGTGTACCGTTAGGCTACAGCAAGTGATTTTCAAGGATGACATCAGCGCACGCATTTATTTTCGCCTGATTTTGGAAAGAAAACAAGAAATATTGTTGCCCTCTGACAGTGGGCCGAAAATGGACAAAGATGTCTGTTGCCATGCTGGAACGTGGATGGTAGATAAATGTGAAAGAGAGGACACAAAACAAGGCTCTGATTTATTGTTTTGTCTTAACAAGGTTTATGATGTCAAAATTTGGAAATGTAGGTACTAGTATCTTGATTTTTCTGGCCAGCCTTGGTTTTTGCAATAATGCATTAGATTTTGAAGTCTACGGAGGATGTCATCCATAGAATTTACTTGCTGTAGCCTTACGTCCACACACTTGGGTTACTTAACCTTTTAGATCGTTAGATGCCCTAAGGAACGGAATAAAACATCAGGGAAATCAGGCTATCGTTGTTACCGTGAACTCTCTTCTGATGAACCTAAATTGACCTCCACATGCCTGTTTACGCCTACACCTGGCCTCCCAGCCAACTTTGCGGTCACTGTTTGATCCCTGAAGCTAAATAAAACATGGGGAAGTTATATAGGCCATGTTGATTTGATTATATGGATGACATCAGCGAGCGCATGAATTTTCGGCCTTTTCCAAAAATAAAAGTTTTCAACCATACTGTAAATCGTACAAAACAGTTGCAAAAGGAACAAATATATACCGTAAGTTGCCCCAAAAAATATTGGAAAACGATGCAAGTGTCGTAGAATGCCAAAATAAAACGAAAAAGACGAAAATGTAAAGAAATGAATTTGAAGAGTAGATTATTTGCCATACCATACTCTTTGTCATTTGTTCAACCTTCTTGCAATTTACGGCATATATTTGGTCATTTTGCAGGTGCTTTGTGTGATTTACGTCAAAAACGTTTTTTTCGAAACGGACGAAAATTCATGCGCGCGTGGATGTCATCCATATAATCAAATCAACATGGCCTTACCCCGTGTAAAAAAGAGCGTATCACCGCTGCTCCAGTGAGTCTGCGAAGTAGACTAAGGCCGTGCGTCATACCGGGCTAATTTAGATTATCGTCTCCCCTTGATGCTGCGAGGATTGGCAAGCCATCCTCCAACCTAATATCATTCGGAACCCATGAAATAGGCTGGTTTTCCGCTCCTCCAGGGTTTTGGTACGGTTCCAAAAACTTGTTCAAGTTTCCGTCTTATCAATTCAGAATAGATAGAGGCGCTCAAGAATTCTCCAGGACTGCTGTTAGTATCAAACGTGCTAGGGGCCTAGATCTAGAAGGAAGTTTCAAACAACTCGTGAGGAGTTAACTTTTTTTAGCTTACGAAGGAGGAAAAAAATAAGGCTTTCCAGGCGTTTGCAGTGCGTTTGCAGTTTATATTGTAATTATTTCGTAGTTAGAGTACGCTGCAAAATATTTTAAGATTTATAGTAAATATACAGAGCTTAGATGTGGCGAGTCCTTTCTCTTTCACGCAGTTTGGCTATATTGCACCTTTGTCTTCACTCACTTTGACTCGCAAATGCGTTTTCCATAAAGATCTTGACCCCCCCCCTTTTTTTATTCCAACATGTAATCACCAGACGTGGTGACTCAAGTTTTATCAACTTATATTAATGCCGCCACCAACACAGGGGACAAATACAGACAGGACAATACTCATTTTCACCTGAGCGAAGTGAGGAAAGTCGTGTAAAGTGCCTTTCCCAAGGGCACAAGATCGGTGGCATATCAGGACTCGAACCCGGGACCTCTAGGTTCCGAGTCGCGCACTCTTCTTGTTTATGCCTGCACTGGTTAAGGTGTCTCATATTGAAATAAATAATTGCGTACCAAATTGAAATAAAAAAAAAATATAATGGTATGAGAGACTAAGTCTATCAACTTTCAACTTTCAACTTTATTTGTTCAACCAGGTATCACACTCAGGCCACTCTGGCCTGTTTTTCAGGAAATCCTGGTACAAAAGCACAGACAAACACCTATGATTATACTACATCCTACAACATACATGGTACTAGTTTTGCTGGGTTTGACTTCTTCTTTTGAGGCAGTGGAAGACGAATTTACCCACTTCTTCTATAATATGTGGGTTGATGATGTGACAATCAGTTTTTCCACCTTTCTCGGTATTCTGCTTTAAATACCAGACCTACAAAGAGTCAATTCTCTCTCTGCCTCAGTGGAAAGATTTAATTAAGTTGGCTTAAAGGTCTTCATACGTCGGAAAAATAAGATTATAAGACGTAACACTCTCTCGTTCAACCGGGTTACTATTATTACGTAAATAGGGATTGACACTTGGAGATTTTACGGTCGGTTATATTAAAGGCATTAACAGACAGAACGTCGCCTACGTTGTACGTCATAACTTTAATGGCATCCAATGTAATTTCCGGGCAAAACAAAAAGATATTCACGATGAGGAAATCTGTCTGATATTGGACATTTAGTGCCATTTGGTAGCACATTTTTGACATCATTTCATACTTGACGTGTTTGAAATAGACTAAATACAAGCTAGGAGGAGTCCCCTTTTTAGTACCTGCAATAAATAGCTATAACCAGCCTACAATACGAAACCGTTTTCCGTCAGTGATATCGCTTTTTGCCTCACATATCAGTATGCTATTGGATAGGATTGAGTCAACGTACTACATTAAATGACCAGGGATACAATCGACTTTGAAAATCCAGTTTTACTGCCCTGAAATCGCATAGGGTGCCTTTAACCAACCTTGGCCGGTTTTCCACATTACCTACCGCTCCTAACCAGTCCTATTGATACGGCCGTGGCAAAATAAGACTTAAAGTCTACACCTTCTTCAGAACTTTTACAACCAGGATGCGTTTCACGTTGCACAACTTTAGCAGCTGATAATCGGATGTATGAATAGATGCGGTCACTCTGACCTCAAGACTTTAAAAAATTGTTTTTTTACAGACTTGTAGACTTGAAGAATCCAAGATTCTTTACAAGACGTTGCCTGAAAGGATGATGGGTAAAGATACTTTTTAACAGACACTGTAACTCTGCTTGAATAATTATCTGCGTTCACACCTTGTTGTTCTTTCAAGTCGTAAAAGAAGGCTTAAAGTCTATACATCGTGCAGAACTTTTACAACAAGCTTAAGGGCGCGTTTCACGTTGCACAACCTTAGCAGCTGATAATCGGATGTATGAATAGATGCGGTCACTCTGACCTCGAGATCTTAAAATTGTTTTTTACGGACTTGTAGACTTGAAGAATCGAACATTCCTTACAAGACGTTGCCTGAAAGGATGATACTTTTAACAGACACTGTAATCCCGCTTATCTACGCTCACACCTTGTTTTTCTTTCAATTCGTCACAGTCACCAGTGAGACGTGGGTCGCAATGCTTTAACGTCAGTTGAAATACCCTGATCTTATTATCTGCCCACTTGTGATAAAACCATGGATGTGTTTTTATCCCCGTATAGAGCTTTCACCGACGCTGTGTTATCACCTAGGGAAAAGTTGGTGGCGTGAATGATCAGGTATTTGGAGTCGTATTTGTGAGAAGGGCTCCGTGCGTGAACATTAGTTGTTACGTGTGTGTGGGCGGTCTTTACTGGGGGACTGTTTCATCATCATGAATTCGTCTTCTCTAGCTGGACAAAGTTTGGTCGTACGGGGCCGGTTTGATTGCATGTATTCTGACGGTCGATATATTAGAAGACCTTCGAATAAACAGACACTGGGCACTACACTCTGATTATGTGCATTCGTAATGACAATATAATACAAAACTGTCACATGTCAGATATATTTTATAGTACAGTAATTATGTTACGATTTTTTATTGTTGTGTATTATTATCATTCTTACTGCTGTTATTGTTAGTGTTTTATTTTTTGTTTCTTTCTAACTGTTTCATTCACACACACACACACACACACATATATATATATATATATATATATATATAGCTAGTGACAGATCCCTCCAACTCTGTTCTGCAACTTGCTACATAATTTAACCCAACACCATAGTTGTCTGCTACAGTACCAGTTCCTATGGTGACAGGCATCTGATCCAGGTCATCGACCTTATGCATTTGGAGAGGAAGAAGAAACGTAGCAAGAAAATAGCCTCTACTAGGCTTCGGGAAACGACTGGTTATCTCTCTATTTGACCAATTTCTACTCTTTCCAGCCGTTTCCTGAAGCCTAGCAGAGGCTAGCAAGACAATACGTTTTCCTTCTGTGAAGGTTAATACATTAATGAAAGAAATAAGATGAAATGACGTCGTACGTACATGGTGTATGTCCACGAGCCGAAGGTGACGCGGCAGTTCTGGTAGTCAAACGGGAAGTACGAGACGTCGACCTCGCAGGAGCTCTTAGTGATGGCCGGGGAGTCCCAGTAGATGTCCCCGGTGTGGCTCAGCACCACGTTCGTCTCCATTCGGCTGGTGAACTGGTCATCCGCACTGAAGAACAACATTATATCATCAGATCATGAAAGTTCATCTGTGTTGGTAGTTTAATACATGTTTAGAGTTAAAACTTTAGATCCAACACAAAAAGTTCTCTAACCTAGAGATTTTGACCAGTCACTCTGAAGGAGGCTATTTACATCAGGGCCCAGCATCCTTCACTTAACCGCGACGGGGGCCGACATCGTCTACCAGATACCTTTGACCCAGCGTTGACGCCACACTTCAAAGAAGCCACGTGACAAGCCTCACTGGGTCAGTCTACTGAGGAAGACCAGAATGACTGGTCGAAAACTAGGTCTAGGTGAGAGAACGTTTTGTGTTGAATCTAAAGTTTTAACTTTAAACATTTTTTTGGCATTTTATTAACACGTGATGTAGAAGAAATCTCGAAAGAAAGCCGAATGTACATGACCAACTATTATATGTATCTGTTGCTTATAATATATGTGTGTATTTTTGTTAACGTGGGTCAAAAATGTACAATAAAGCTCTTTATTCATTGAACGTAAGATTTATTCAACGAAAAGGGCAGATAACAGATAAAAGATCTTAGATACATTGAATTAATAGAAGGGGCTCACAAATTGTCAACATGAAACATGAAAACGTATCATGTTTAGAATTTAAGTTTTGTTCTAACACAAAGAATGGTTCTCGCCTACTTCTTCAATAGACTGACCCACCTGGCTTTTCTGAAGTGTGACATCAGCACTGGAGGAAGACCAGACTGTCACCAGAGTGACTGGTCGATATCTCTAGATGAGAACTATTTTTTGTTTTGGAACAAAAGCTTTAATTCTAAACGTATAACTACCAAAACAGATGAACTTTTATGATAGTGAATGAAAACTAATCAGTTGGAACTGTGAAAATCTCAGAATGTACCGGTGTAACTCTGTTTACCATCCTATGCAAGCCAGGCTTATTTCACACGGGTGCATTTTCCAACCCAAGATTGGTTTTCGAACGCATAGTTTGACACCAGAAGACAATAATCCAAAGAGGCAGCGCGTTTAGCACGGTTTAATTGCCCCCTGTCAGCCCTGTAAGCTTTAACCTGGTTATATAACGGGAGTTAGAGATCAAGTCAATACCACAGGCTTACTGACTTATATGGTGTTGATGACCCACAACTACGTACAGTCGGTTGTTTTGCACGCGATCAGTTGTTGGGTTGAAAATCTATATAGCTTGTATTGTTTATTTCCATAGAAAGAATTTCTAGCAGTAAACTGATTTAAAGAAAGTTCATAGCTTAAAATGATGGCATAGTAGCCTCAGTGTTATACTATTTGTAAGGCGGCAAAAAAACAGGCATATAATACTAGTAAGAGGGTCACAATTCCCCCCCCCCCAACAACCTCTGATTAGAGAGTACTAGGCACCCAAGCTAATAGTATAGTACTCTAAAACAAATATTTTCTTCTGGAAAACGCAGTTACATGTCATAGATGAAACGCGATCTAATATACGACCACCCCACCCACAAAAAAAGTGAAGGCAACAGTAGCCTGTAGCTGATTTACCGGCAGTACTAGTGTGGCGAAATATGTAGGACAGCAGGAGGGCGTGATGGAAATTTACCAACGTGCTTGTCTGTGTCAAGGACGGGATCGGTCCGAAATGAAACTAGGGCGGGAAAAATTATTGGCAAGCATTTGACAAATGGGTAAGTTTGATGGAGTACTCGGTAAGACTCGTAAGTTGGCGGGTTTGAAGAGTTAAATCGTCGCGTTACTCACATTTTACGAGGCGCTCCTCGGGGCTGCCTGAGGTTCTGTCCTCTTTTGTGGCAAAAAAACAGAAAAACAGGAAAGTATGAGAATATCTGAATCATTTCCGGACGTTTCCGTTGTGTGAAGAAGGTATTTAGATGTGTGGGAGACCGTGGGTTATAAGGTGGCTGAGTTACATGTCGAATGAAGTAAGTTCCACGCAAAAACGTTTCTGACACATTACTGTTCAACTTTGTAAAGAAAAACTATGATGAGTCAGAATGCCTATCGGGTATTATGGTCAAAGCTCATACATCGGATTATTTACCCTTGTATGTCTGGGTACTGAACCAACCTATAACGAATCGGGTAGAATAGACGTAAGCAATTTTAAAATGTGAGATGTTTTAGAATTTAATTCGGCATACAGAAGTACTTTTTAATGTGTTAGAAGTTTTTAGAATATAAAAAATCTCATTTCAGCCTTGTGCTGCAATGTTTTGATCAATAAACCACCACTGCTACTACTACTACTACTGCTGCTGCTGCTGCTGCTGCTGCTGCTACTACTACTACTACTACTACTACTACTACTACTACTACTACTACTACTACTACTACTACTACTGCTACTACTACTACTACTACTACTACACTTACTACTACTACTACTACTACTACTACTACTACTGCTGCTGTTATTACTACTGCTACTACTACTACCACTACTACTACCACTACCACGGCTACCACAACTACATGTGCTACTTCCATTCCTCCTCCTACTACTAGTACTCGGTACCGCTACTACTTTGTTTCTTGCCGGGACTTCTGCTTGGATATTCTTTGGATTGCCTACCAGTAGAGTACCTAAATTTTGCATGCACGAGGCAAAGTTAGAACTAGGATCTTTGCCAATTTTGGCCCACGACAAACAATCGTGCTTTATCTACAGCTTTTGTCAACGTGATAAATTGTACTCCACGTCGTTGGTTTTCCACCGGAAATGAGATTAACAGGATTTTTTCTAAGATTACGACGTGTATGGCCAACTAAAGGTTAGTCTGTGCCGCTACATGCGTCAGAGTCCTCCGTCACTCGTTAATTTGGCCCTCCAGTCTTTGGTTTCTACTGAAGAGATGGATTTCCGGGGTACGACCTTCCGCAATGCAGGTGATAACGTGGACATCACTAGTCCTGTTTTTACACGCCTCAGAGCCTATAGCTATTCTTTAAAGGTGCGCAATGCAGTTTTTTTCAGGGCTTAAAAAACAGATTTTTCAAAGTCAATATTCTAGTCACATATCTACATACTATGTTGAAACAACATTATCCTAACGTATACTGACATCCATGGAGCAAAAATGCCGAAAATAGTGACGGAAAACGGTTACTGGTAAGATCCTCGGTTGACGTTTCTGGGTGTAGGGCACCACCCAGAAAATATTTCATTCATCTTGGGAACTACAGTGACCAAAGTATGAAATACCGATGCAAATGTGCTACTGTGGGGCAATTATGAGTCAATATCACACAGATTGCCTTATTTCTTCAACGGTGTTGCTCAATGTAAAGCCAAATGCCCACGTCTAGTAGCTATAGGCAATATTCAGAATGTTCCAGTTTTGCCGAGGTGGAATCGGACCGGATGCCTTTAGCCATTTGCCTCTCCTATTTTATCAGCCACTCTGCCGGAACGGCGATTAGACACAGGTGAAAAGCCTGAAGCTTAGAGTCCAAATCAAAGGTCTGTTGGTCCTTCCTGGTGCGTCAGAGCCACGCACGCATCAATGTAGATAAACGGCTAGCGGCTTCCGCACTGGTACATCTTCCCGTTCCGCTTCACGTCAGATCAGGGTCGGGTAGCGGAAAAGGGCAGACTTAAGCCCGGAAAGAATAGGCTGTGATTGGAGTATGTTCTGCTGTGGCCGCGGTGATTACAGAATTCACCAAGGGACTTACGTGAGCGATCATTCACCCTTCTAATCTTCAAGCAGATCCTACGGTGGCAGGACAGTATCCATTGGTCAGAGGATACTGTCTTGCCACCGTAGGATCTGCTTGGAGATTAATTCACCCTAAATCTTTCGAAAATAATTTCATCAGGTTGGTAGAACTTAAACGTCAGCAAGGTGACAATTTACCGGTTGTGTAAAAAGAAATACCTGTCTCCATTCACCCTAAATGTCTCTGAGCATCGTTCGTCGTTTAACGTTTTGTACCATTTGCTTCATCAAGGTTGTGGTGAACAACGTTAGAGGATAAAAACGGCGCGCAATATCATAACTGTTTTATGAAGGACCATCTGATGTATGCGCTGAAACGCCGTATCTATTCTCATGCTAGTAAAAATGTTGGAATAGACACTTTTATTTCACATTCTGCAATAACATTTATCCACAAATAAAAAAGTCCACAAGACCAAATCTATTCCACTTTCTCAGGTCCCCTTGGAACCATGAAGAGTCAATACAGGCGTAGCCGCGTAGGTCAGTCTATTCTCCAAGCAGAGGTTTAGACCATTGTAACATCGTATCGCCCACGTACAGCCAGGTATATTGGACAATCAGGGGTCAAACATGTCGCCACTTGGACTTTGCTTTGGGGTGGGGCTGCCACATGAGCAGGGCAGGAAACAAATACAATCATGGCGGCTGCACCGTTAAGTTTGAGGACACAAATCCGCGAAGAACTGTCCTGCAGCATCTGCCTGGATCTGTTCACCAGGCCCAAGGTGCTGCCCTGTCAGGACACCTTCTGTCAGGACTGTCTACAGGACCATGCAGGGAGGGGAGGGACCTTCCAGTGCCCAAACTGTCGCCAACAAGTCAGGCTGCCACGTCAAGGGGTCGCTGGTTTGCCCGACAATCGCATTGTGGCCAACATGAGCGAGAGGTTCCAACAACAAGCTACACTGTCAGTGGACACACGCGAGCAACCACAGTCAAGAAACAGATGCAGTTTTCACCCCACTGAAGAAGTCAGGCTCTACTGTAAACAGTGTAAAGTTCCAGTTTGTCATGAGTGTCTTGATGAAAGCCATGGTGAACATTCTACAATGAGCCTCAGAAAAGCAATCCAACAACATAGAGGTCCGGTCCAGGCCTTGATCAATGAGGGGAGGGGCATCTTGGAGACCTACTGTAGCTTCATCAGAGGTCTGAGAGAGGAGGAGAGAAGGCTGGACGATCAGAAAGAACAGGCGGACAACAAAATCGACGAGGCCTACAGACAAGCCTGTGATCAAATCATTCAGAAGCTGACCGAGGAAAAAGACAAGCTGTTGTCTGAAGTTGAGACGAACCACAGGCAAAACAAGGGAGCCGTGCAGGGACAAAAAGATGTGGTTTGGGCTGATGTCGCCGAACTGTCTTCCGTCTGTGATGGTGCGGAGCAGGACATGGATGGAGAAGGTGGGCAGTTTCTCAGTCATGAACCCAAACTAGCCGAGGTCGTAGGGAGGTTCAGACACAAGACTTTGCCAAATCCACTTCAAACCCACCCTGCTGTCTTCCAGCCTAAGGTAAGAGTGGAACTCGTGTGTACACTAGGAGATGTGACAGTCCCGGGGGCTGCACCGTCTGCTACAACCAAAACCATTTGTAACCAAACCCAATTCGGTCGATGTGGTTCAGAACCAGGTCAGTTCAACTGGCCCCTTGGACTTACAGAGGGCGAGGGGGAGATCTTTGTAGCAGATCTTGAAAATTTGAGAATCCAAGTCTTCACCCTGCAGGGAACATTTATCCGCCAGTTCCCAACAGTCGTGTCTAGTGGAGAGAAGATGTATCCAGATGATGTGGCCATGGACGGGGAGGGGAACCTGTGGGCGGTGGGTAGGGTGGTGATGAGTGTGGTGGGGAGTGTTTTGCGAAGGGCGGTGGGGATAGGCCGGGACGATCGCGAGTTTGCTGTGCAGTACAACAAACAGGGCAGCGTGCTGAGGCAGATTGAGCTACAGACAGGGTGGAACAGAGGAGTTGCCGTGGACACCAGGAGGAACCACATCCTCATCACACAAACTACAGGAGACTGGCGCCGACATGGTGAAGTTTTGGTGTTCAGGCCAGATGGGACGCTTGTGAAAACTGTGGGTCAGCCGCAGGGGATGGAATACCCATTGTACATCACTATGGACGAGGAAGGGAACATTCTTGTGACAGACTATGACAATCACTGTGTCTATATGTACAACGAGGACGGACGGTTTCTGTTCCAGTTTGGAGGTAAGGGAAGTGGTGAAGGTCAGATGAACGGTCCCCTTGGCATCTGTACAGACAGGACAGGGAACATCATCGTGGTAGACAGCTGGAATTGTCGTGTGGAGATGTTCGACAAGACAGGAAGATTTCTCAGGCACATCACTACTGATATGAAAAGTCCTTGGGCTGTTGCCATGGCACCACATGGACAGCTGATGGTGACTGATACTAAGGAACATACAGTCACTATCTTCAAACATATTTAATGACAAAGCATCTCAGTGATAAAACCCTCTGATGCGCTCGAATATCTTGCCACCTAGAATGTTCGTTTCATTTTAAACCCTTTCTCTGGCACTGTTTGTTTCATAGTAAGGCTTCATTCCAAAATGAGAATTTCTGCCTGTAACACTATAACAAGGTGTGAGCAAGTGTTGCAAAGTTATTATGTACATAGTGCTGCATATCAGAACAATAGACAGACCTCTGCTCCTATGATAATATTTGTGACCTTTTAGCGGCTGCGCTTAAGCTTGTTTCTATGTGTTGACACACAGTTTGTCGACGTGACCCTTGATTTCTTCTGGTGTAGTGGTCGTGCCGTCACAATATAGACCTTTGTAACATCGTCTCTCCCACACACAGCCAGGTATATTGCACAATCATATTACACACAGACAGACAGACACCCCCCCCACACACACACACACACATACACACACACACCCATCTACACACACACACACACACACACACACACACACACACACACACACACACACACACACACACATGACTCATCAAGACCTACCCATCTACCAAGTATCAAGACAACCCATTTAAGCCTTCTCAAGTTATCGTGTCCACAGACGGACACACAAACACACACACACACGCACACAAACACACACACACATACACAAACTCCTCTGAAAACATAACCTTCTTGGCGAAGCTAACAATTATGAAACGTATGTGTAGCTGGCTTAAACTTGACAAGTTCTAAGGAAACGCATCGGAGAAGGCAAAATGTGCATGAATTCGCTTTACTGTGTGAGACAGAAGTTGGTGACGTCGCTTTACATTTATTGACTATAGGTAACTCAGCTAAGCTGGTCACAGTACGGCTCATATTCATGATTGAGATAGACCGTCTGATATGCCGGAATTATTGCCAAAAGAAGATAGGTATGAAACGTGTGTGCAGTTGTAAAGTAATAAAGAAATGCACCGGAGAAGGTCAAAGATTCCTGACTTCCCTTTATTATGTTGTCAGAAGTTGGTGACGGTACGGGCCTGATTGAGATATAAAGTTCGAGATGACTGAATTCGTGCCAAAGGAAGTTACCTGACAAGTGCAGTTAAAGTCAGTACAGTTGGCCTAAATTTGACAAGTCAAGGTCAAAGATACGTGACTTGGATTCACCATATTCATTACATATTGACCTATTACAGGTAACTCAAACGTTGGTCACGGTACAGCTCATACCCTTGAATGAGATGTACGTTTGATATCCGAATTTGTGCCAAAGGAAAGAATCTGACAAGAGAAATTTAAGTCAGTGAAGCGTGTGTGCTGTGGGCCTAAGCTTGACAAGTAACATGGAAACGCAAAGATGAGTGACTTCGATTCACCATATTCATTACATATTGACTGACCACAGCTAACTCAAGTGTTGGATGCCTGCATTCGTGCTAAAGAAAGGTATCTGACAAGTGTAGTTGAGATCAGTGGAGTTGGCGTAAACTTGACAAGTAATAATGTAACTATTGCCAAAGGAAGTTATCTAACAGGAACTTGTGTGCAGTTGGTCTAATATAATCTTGACAGGTAATATGGAAACGCACCGAAAAAGATTACAGATACAAGACTTCACGTTATCATGTTCACTACATATTGACCACAGGGAAGTCAGAAGTTGCTCACGGTAAAATCCTTGATTATCAGATGGAGGTAGAACGTTCGAGATGGCTGAATTCGTGTCAAAGGAAGGTATCTAACAGGTATGGAACGTGTGTGCAGTTGGTCTAATATAATCTTGACAAGTAATATGGAAACGCACCGGAAAAGGTTAGAGATACGCGACTTCACTTGACCATGTTCGCTACATATTGACCACAGGGAAGTCAGAAGTTGTTCACGGTAAAATCCTAAGTTTTCAGATTGAGGTAGAACGTTCGAGATGGCTGAATTCTTGTCAAAGGAAGGTATCTAACTAGTGTAGTTGGAGTCAGTGAGTCGTGTGTACTGTTGGCCTAAATAGACAAGTACTAATTAGGAAGCTCACCGAAGAAGGTCAAAGATACATGACTTTGATTCACTATTCAGTGGAGTTGGTGTAAACTTGACAAGTAATAAGGTAACTCGTGTCAAAGGACGTTATCTAACAGGTATAAAACTAGTGTGCAGTTGGTCTAATATAATCTTGACAAGTAATATGGAAACGCACCGGAAAAGGTTAGAGATACGTGACTTTACTTGACCATGTTCACTACATATTGACCACAGGGAAGTCAGAAGTTGTTCACCGTAAGATCCTTGATTATCAGATTGAAGTAGAAAGTTCGAGATGGCTGAATTCGTGTCAAAGGAAGGTATCTGACAGGTATGAAACTTGTGTGCAGTTGGTGTAATATAATATTGACAAGTAATATGGAAACGCACCGGAAAAATTAGAGATACATGACTTCACGTTATCATGTTCGCTACATATTGACCACAGGAAAGTCAGAAGTTGCTCAAGGTAAAATCCTTGATTATCAAATTGAAGTAGAACGTTCGAGATGGCTGAATTCTTGTCAAAGGAAGGTATCTAACTAGTGTAGTTGAAGTTAGTGAGTCGTGTGTACTGTTTGCCCAAATAGCCAAGTAATACGGAAGCTTACCAAAGAAGGTCAAAGATACATGGCTTTGATTCACCATATTCATTACATCTTGCCCACAGGTAACTCAGAAGCGTACCCTTCATTAGTGTAGTTGAAATCAGTGAAGGATGTGCTGCTGTCCTAAATTTGGCGAGTAACGAGAAAAGAAAGGTCAAAGATATACGTGGCTTCGATTCACCATTCTCATTTGCCTACAGGTAAGATGGAACGTCTGAATCTGACAAGAAAACTTTAAGTCAGTGAAGCGTGTGTGATGTTGGCCTAAACTTGACAAGTCAGAAGGAAACGCACCGGAAAAGGTCAAAGATACGTGACTTCGATTCAGCATTTTCATTACCTACGGACTAACCACAGGTAACTCGTTGGATATGCCTGAATTTGTGCCAAAGGAAGGTATCTAACTAGTGTAGTTGAAGTCAGTGAATCGTGTGTACTGTCGGCCTAAAATAGAAAAGTAATAAAGGAAACGCAACCTGAATTCGATTCACCATTTTGATTATGCATTGATCCACAACCATAGGTAACAACTGTTGGTCACGATACGACTTGACTGAGATATAACGTTTGATATGCGGGAATTCATGTTCAAAGGAAGGTATCTAAGTAGTTGAAGTCAGTGAATCGTGTGTGCAGTTGGCCTACACTTGACAAGTAACAAGGAGGCGCACCAGAAATGGTCAAAGATATCTGACTTCGATTCACCATATTCAGTACATACTGAGTGCGCACAAAGGCAAGTTATTTCTGAACGAGCCCAAAAGCATGTCGTTTGTAAGCCTGTGGTATTCGGTTGACCTTTCACAACTACCCATGAGAGAGTCCCAAAGTATTTCCGTTTCATTCCATGACCATGTTCATAGGGATTTTGTGGAATGCTATTTTCTTGCATTTTATAGACAGTCTACGCATGAGAGGATAAAGGAAATGATAAAAAGGCGTATTCTATAGGGAACTTTATCATAGTTAGTTTCCAATGTTAGCAAAAACGATAAAATGTAACCGCTTTATACTTCTCATGATTCGGAAGGGAATGAATGTTATGGGTAATACAGACATGCTGTAGAATTTAATCACAATGCAGAGCATAGTAATAACACAGAGATTTCTTTGAGGTGAATAGAATCAATAGGACAAAATGTTATTGATGTTCTTATGTGCTAGTTGGTACACCATGGACTGAGACAACACAGGGACATACAATAGCCTTTCCAAAACACTCTACGTAGAATATTGATTAGTCTCCACCAGGTCTAGATAAGAGGTTATCGACAGTAGAATTTGGCAAAAATAGGTCACTAATTGGCTAGGGGAGTGACTCATGGTAAGGGTAACATTACCCTAGACTGAGTCAAGTCTACAACCGTGGCAAATTGTTATGTATCGTCAAAAACCGTCGTTTTTGCTCTGTTTCTTCTTCCTCTTCTCCAAACGAAAAGGTCAATGACCCGAACAAGACGGTCACCATGGTGATGGTAACTGGTGCTGTAACAGGCACCCTTTGGTATTGGATGCCATTATGTAGCAAGTTGCAGGACATAGTTTGAGAGGTTGGTCACCGTGCATATGAATGTGTTTGAGTAAGACGAAACAGAGCCATAGTTTGTTGAGCTAGACCATCTCCATGTGGAGGTCAACATCATGTATCTGTTTGCTAACGGTACCTTTCTAAATCTCTCTATTTTGCTAAATTTGACCATTTTTCTTCCTGTGTTGCCAGCCTGGTGGAGACTATATAACGACACTGTATGACGTACTTGTTGTACAGCACGATGTCAGGTTTCCAGACGTGAGTAGACGGGATCCTCAGTTCGGCCAGACCGTCGTACTCAGCCGGGTTCCACTTCAGACTGCAGTCGTTCCAACGCTAGAATCAGAACAAGAATGACCATCTTCAATATGCCATTGCATGAAATCCTGCCTTTAAGTATGCCATTAAAGCACGCGTAAAGGTACACGGGAGAAGAAACGGAATATTTACGCCAGCTTTAAGGTGTGTGTAAAGAATTTCTTTTGTGCTGTGACGATAGCGATGCCTATTTAAAATGGCATTTTACCATGTAACATAATTATGTATAACTGTAAAATAGTTAAGTACGAAGGATGGTTTTGAGGATCTATTCATGGGACCCTAACGTGGAGTTGGTGAATAATCTTGGTGAATAATTATTATAAAACCGCATATCTTAAGTCTTTTAACGGCTACGGAAATCTACTTAATCTTCAGCACTGCACGAAATCGTATCTATAATCACACCTTCAAGATTGCGGCTTAAGATTGCTTAACGAATGCTTTAAGATGTGTGTAAAGAATGGGTTTTGGGCTGTGCAGAGATTACGTAGAACAAACTGTGACGTCAATAAATCAATAATGTAGATTCTGATGTAACCATCCACATCAATACACATGAACCATGAAGTCCGACTTGTCACTAAGAATGAACCATGGCATTGCGCACTTTAAAAAGGCACCCAATGGGATTTCAGAGCAGCAAAACTGGAAATATTCTGAATAAGGCAATCTTTATGATATTGACACATACTGCTTCACATTAGCGCATTTAAATCAGCATTTTATATTTTGGGCATTTAAAACTACAGAAACAAGCCCCAAGATGAGTCCTTTATTTTCTGGGTGGTACTCTAAAAATCAGCCCAGGGCCCTTCCAGTAACCATTTTCCGTCAGAATTTTGGGAATTTTTGCAAAGGGGCAAAATACATTGGGATAGTGTGGTTTCAACTCAGTATGTGAATGACTAGAATATTGGATTAGAAAATCGGATTTTCAAGCCCTAAAAACTGCACTGGATGCCTTTAGAGGGACGAGGTCTGAATATAAAATAGTAGCACAACTTACCATTCTGAGCCACACGTACGCCGTTAGAATCTGGTTCCTCTCGTCCTAAAGTAAGGATAGAGAAGAGGAGCATTATCTTATCTTGTCTCTACAGACATACACCTCAACTGCACTGCTCGTTGTAGGGAAGACTTTAGGAGAATAGCGTAATGATGGCATTATCACAATACTTACCTGGAAATGCGATTTCAGGGTAGTAAAACTGGATTTTCAAAGTCAATGGTCACTTTTTTTTATAAATGTAATAAGTTCAATCAACCTTATTTTAGCGCATACTAATATCTGTGAGGTAAAATGCGAAGGTCGACAAGGAAAACGGTTGCTTGTTTCATACCGAAGACTGGTTCTGGTTATTTCGAACTGTTTTGTGAACGATAAGCCTACTGATAACATGCATGTGATAATTTTAGTGATAAAAAGGTCTATTTGCTTAACTACTTTGCCTCTCACCTTGTTCGTTATCAACGCTACAGAAAATGATAATGATAGTATAACTACCACACCTAGTCCATGTGAACAAGAACATGCAAATTACAGATCATAATCTTTATCATGATTGATGGTTGCCATGATACGAATATATGTTAGAGATTAGTTCAACCTTTTTACATCTCGAAAACACTTAGCATTATGTGTTGATTATGCATTCTCACCATGTCTATGATCTGTGACAGGGCGATACCAAACTTGACCTGGATGGGGTTGGACAGGTTCATGGAGGGACGGACCGCCACGCTGTAGTTCTGTAGGAGGTTCTGCATCAGCTTGTAGGCGTACGTCACGTTAGCGCCCTCAGACGCTGTGGAAAACAGAAATTTATATACATAATCACTGCACTGCATCTTTAAGCACACCGTGAAGCATACGTAAAGATAAACGCTACTGAACAACTGGAACCTTTACGCATACTTAAAGAATGGATTTTGTGAAGTGATTCAAATGTTTCTAAACAAGCAACAAAAATGGGGATAGATTTTGTCCCCCTAGCGACTTCCATTGAAAAATCAGTGGTTTGTATCATTCTTCGTGACAACGATAATGTCATATGTTTTGTCATGATGATGCCGGTGGTTTCAGGAAAAGAGGACCTAATTTCCTTTCAATGTCAAGGTTTTTTTCATATCCTACTCCACTTTTTGATTAACTGGCCATACACTGCTTCCTATGTGACACAGATTCACGCTGTTCATGATATTACCTCTAGTTAATGATACACATGGCAGATTGGACGATTTGACTGGTTCCCTTTCTATGTCAAGAGTTTACTTTATATTCTACGAGGCTTCACATTTTGACTAATTGACCATCGCCTGTCTGTTAGCCCATGTGGCACAAAATCGCGATATTACCTCTGATTAGGGACGCACCATGACGGATTGGACGATTTAATTGGTTCCCTTTCTTTGTCAAGAGTTAACTTTGAGGCTTCGAGGCTTCACATTTTGACTAATTGACCATAGGCTGCCTGCTAGCCCATGTGGCAAAGATTCACGCTGTTCATCTCGATATTACCTCTGGTTAGGGACGCACCATGACGGATTGGACGGCCCTCAGGGTTGATCTCCTTTGAAATAGGGCAGTTAGTCACGTAGAAAAAAGGGGTTCCAGACGCGGGCTGCCTGTTGAAGTATGACTTTCCCTTGATTACCTGTACTCTACGTCGAACTTGCGTCATGACGAAGGTAACATTTCCATCAAGCTACGTTTTAAAAGTTTTAAAAAGTTTCTGGAAACTTGAATTAATTGCAGCGGAGTATTAGGCATGATTAGTTGTGTAATACTTTGCTGTAATCATGCCTAGCTATCGGCAATGGCACAGATTCAAGACGTTTCCAAGGGCAGAACTTGCCAAGTGCCGTCGGCGGGGATGATTTGCAGAAGTAGCTTGCTCGCAAAGTTCAGTCTACGATCGATCCTAATCTTACAGGCAGATGAAGTGAAATTGCGGTCTCTCTGAGGTACCTTCAAGGCACTCAAAGTGATTTCAGGGCAGTAAAACTGGATTTTAAAAGTCAATTTTTTTCTGGTCACTTTTTAAAATGTCGTTGAATCAACGATAGCTATTCCATAGCATACTGATGTCTGTGAGGCAAAAATGTCGATGACGGACAACGGTTACTTGTCTCGTATCGTAGGCTGGCTCTAATTATTGGTGGTACCAAAAAATAAAGGGACTCCTCATGTCTTCGGGCGTATTCGAACGCTTCAAGCTTGTAATGATGACGACGATGTGCTAAAAAAAACAGTTGTCAAACAGAATTCGTTTTCCATAATATATTTTTGGCTAATTATGAATCCCTAAAATTGCATTGGATGCCTCTAAAATTAAGTTGGTGGACAAATCGTGTGTACAACGCCTAAAGAAGCTTATCATTACAGATATAGACGGCTGATGTGGTCACCTTTGCTGGTTTGTGGCTATGGATTACCTCATAAAACTCTCCCCTCATAATAATGTTAATGTATGTTCTACTTGTGCACCACATATGATGCAAATCATGCACCTCCATGTGCACATAATATGCTCCTTTGCTCAACATACCAGTCATACATGATTGAGAAGATACCTGCTCTGCTATTTCTTAATCAGACACATTCACATATATGGTCAGACAGGAGTCTAAATCCCAAAAATCCCAAAATTGCAACATTATGTAACCCAACACCAGTTACCATGGTGAGAGACAGTCTGGTTCAGTCAGGTCAGAAGGCACTGTTTGGAGAAAACAATATGTTTTCCTTCGCTAAACATAACTATGGTAATAAGGAATAGAAGTCTTCAAAACCTTTATGTGGTGAAATATCCATGCACCATTACACCGGTACCATAGAAATGAACCTAAATCCCAGCTTGGTTATAGTATATTTGCGGGCTGCGTTTTTGGTCCTACGTTTCCCGAAGTACTTTTGAAACCCTTATTTTATGGTTGTCTGAGAACAGATGTTGGACCATATACGCCCACAGATGACCAGGAGGTAACGACTCGAGCAATTCAATGGACCATAGAACTCCAACCTGGGAGGTACTTTGCTTTCACAGAGTCCCTGTGGAGGGGATACAACGGATAAATCTTTTGTTTTATACAGGGCAGGTGACTTGGTATATATGGCCATGTTGATTTGATTATATGGATGACATCCACGCGCGCACGAATTAAAAAAATTCAATTATACTATAAATCGCACAAACCAGCTGCAAAATGAGCAAATATTTGCCGTAAATTGCAAAAAAAATATTGGAAAACGATACTAATGTAGATTGCCAAAATCAATTCCATTAGAAAAGAAGTAAATATGAAGAAATGAAAACGAAGAGTCTATTGTTCCCCATACCATACTGTTGTGTGTGTTTAGTCATTTGTTCAACCTTCATGACCACGTAGATTTCACAAAGAAGGCAGCCTTTTTTTTGCCAAACTTTTTTTATTCGTACGCTCGCATTTAGTTTGGGGGTTCCCATAGGACGTCATCCATATAGTCAAATCAACATGGCCTATGGGCATGGTGTCACAGTTTCACGTTTTTCTTCAAAACGTTTTGTACAAAATCTATCCGGACCGAAATGACCTCTCGCTTTGAATAGATTTTGGATACTGCCAGACGTTTCAAGTAGCATCCATTACTTTACTTCAATTCAGTAATGTCGGGTAGTAGGTGCCACTTGGAACGTAGTGGATGCTACTTGAAACGTCTGACAGTTTTCAAAATCTATCCAGTTGGTTGGGTAACAGTTTTCCTTTGTATCTCTCATTACCTGTATGTCTAGCCTTCATCGACGTGTAATGTGGCATTTGGCCATGAAAAATAAGGTATAGATTTGTCAGCAGAATATGATTATATACATTAGGACAGTTATAGCAGGCTATAGTTTCATTCTAGATTAGACAAATTTGACATATCACTACATTGATTTCATTTCACTGCAGACAAGTCATATTAGCGATTACTCAAGATATTGTTCTTGATGGTGCAATGTAACTGAGTAATATTTTACACGAACAAAATAATCCTGCCATAACCAAATGTAGTTTCTGTTTCGTACGTGTGAACATAATTTTACTGGCGCAATATCATCCAAACGACAACTTTGTCCAATGCCCTTGCTCCTTGCAAATAGAACCCCTCCCTCAATTCCAAATGTACTTTTGGCCAGGGTGATTTGATTATTTGGATGACATACACGCGCATGAATTTTTGGCCGTTTCAAAAAAAAAAGAATTTCAAAGATTTCGACCATCTTGTAAATCGCACAAAATGAGCAAATATATACCGTTGCAAAAAATATTGGAAAACGATACCAATGCCGAAGAATGCCAACATCAAACCATGATCAAACCAAAAAGACGAAAATGCAAAGAAATGATTTTGAAAAAGTAGATTACTTGCCACACCAACCTTCTATGATGACCACGTAGATTTCATACTAAAAGGAACTTTTTTGGGCCAACCTTTTTTTTATTCGCACGCTCGCATCAGTTTTGGGGTTTCCAGAGGACGTTATCCATATAGTCAAATCAACATGGTCTTAACGTTTGGATGGTTTTACGTGTAGTGAATGATGATATAGCCGTACTTGTAAAGTTTCGCGTTCATTAACTAGAAATCTATCTAGTACACTACACTTGAGACCCTTTCAGACGAGGGAAATTAAGTTTAACCTTCCACGTTGCCCTTGGCCTATTTTTCAGTAGCCTTGGTCATCCATCAAAGTAACTGTGTTCGCTGAGAGGGAGTTGTTAACGGCTGGCAGCACCGGTATATTACATTTCATGGCCCAGAAATGAGAACACAAGTTTAGTGCCTTGTAAATATCTTTGAAAATTCTTTTGGTTCAGTTAGGATACTTTGGAACTAGAATGAACAAGTGGATATTTAACTTTCCTACTTTGGTCAGGTTTTCTGTATCTGTATCGGTATAGCCGGTATAACCGCCCTTCGGCGTAACACACCAGCTTCGCAGGCACGCGGCGCGGCGGCAACTAGCTATATCACACCGAACGGCTTGTTACACTCAATCTTTGCACATTTGATTGCAGGAGTTGTTCAAAGCTTTCTAGTGATGATGCCCCAACTGTGCTTGGTGGCAATGAGTTCCAGTCTACGATAGTTCTGGGGAAATACGAGTTTTTGAATACCTCAATTCTTGGTTGATAACTCTGATATTTGAAGGCATGACTGTTCCTTGTTCTTTTCTGGGCTGGTATCAGATACTTAGTGGTTTTGCCCATTTCACACTACTTAGTGGGCGTAATTACAGATCTGAGTGGTTGGGTATTGCCTGGTCATATAAAGCGGATAGAGTGCATGAGCTCGAGGTAAAGTTTGACAAGGCAAGGTCTCAGACATCCGAAGCTCAAAATACCGTGCAGTAAGTCTAAGTTTTTTCATGCCATCTAACAATGACTGTTCACTCCCAATATAGACAACATTCGTTCCCGCCTTTAGAGTAATGTCCGTCAACGATACTTTTTTTACTTTCTTTTAAACAAGAAGTGTTTAAAAAAATTAAAAGCTGTCCGTGGACCAAGATGGGAATAGCTGGTTGGGTGGTGTGAATGTGATGACGATGTGTGACTCAAATAATTGGTCACTTAGTGGCTTGAATTGGACTAATGCTACCGCTAGGCGAAAAAAAAATTCAATAGGGTCAAGCAAAAACGGGAGTGTTAGACAGACTAACGCATAACAATGGGCCTGAGGAATGATACAAATGTAAATTACTTGTTACCCCCAACACCAAACCACC